GATGATGAGCCTTAGTTAGGGACAAAGGGAAGAAACGTGTAGAAGTCATCCCTCCCAAAAAGCTGGGCAAGATTGGATCTCCTCAGACTGATCTTTTCTTGATTCTGTTGCCTCAGGAGGACCTGAGACCCCTTTATAAAGCTAGGGCTGGGGCCAGCACTGTGGCACAGTGGGTTAATACTCTGGCCTGAAGCGCTGGCATCCCATATGGGCACCGGTTCGAGACCCAGCTGTTCCACTTCTGATCCAGCTCTCTGCTATGACCTGGGAAGGCAGTAGAAGATGGCCCAGGTCCTTGGGCCCCTGCACGCACATGGGAGACCCTGGCTTCTGGCTTTGGGTTGGCAAGTTCTGGCTGTTGCGGCCAACTGGGGAGTGAACCAGCAGATGGAAGACCTCTCTCTCTCTCTCTCTCTCTCTCCTGCTCTCTCTCTCTGCCTCTCCTCTCTCTGTGTAACTCTGACTTTCAAATGAATAAATACATCTTAAAAAAAAAAAAAAATAAAGGTAGGGCTATGGGGACAGCATTGTAGCTTAGCAGGTGAAGCTGCCACCTGCAATACTGACATCCCATATGGCACCAGTTGTTCGTGTCCTGGCTGCTGCTCCACTTCCGATCCAGCTCCCTGCTAATGGCCTGGGAAAGCAGTGGAGGACAACGCCAGTGCTTGGGCCCCTGCTACCCATGTGGGAGACCTAGAAGAAGCTCCTGGGTTTGGCCTGGCCCAGCCCTGACCATTGCCATCTGTGGAGTGAACCAGTGCATGTCTTTCCTTCTCTCTCTGTGACTCTAACTTTTTTTTTTTTTGCAGGGCTGAACCCTGTAAAGACCAAAAAAAAAAAAAATCCCCACAAAACTAGGGCTACAAAGGCTAAGTTTGCATCTGTGTCCAAAACTGTCTAGTTTTACTGTCTAGTTATCTTGGGTTCCGATCAACAGACTCAACTAAAACAGTCTTAAATTGCTGTTGTATATTATGTAGTAGGCTTACAGACTTTATTTCTTTGTAATTACTCCCTGAACAACATAGTATAAAAACAATTTACATAGCATTTACATTGTATTAGGCATTATATGTAATCTAGAGGTGAATTAAATTATATAGGGGGGTCATTTGATTAAGATACCACTTGGGACACCTGCATCCCAGTCGCCAGGTTCAAGTGCTGGCTCCACTTCTAATCCAGCTTCCTGTTAATGAGTACCCTGGGAAGCAGCAGATGATGGCTCAGATACTTGGGTCCCCACCATTGAGTTCCTGGCTCTTAGATTTGACCAGACCCAGCCCCAGCTGTTGAAGGCATTTGGGGAGTAAACTAGTAGATGGAAAATCTGCCCCCCCGCACTATGTATCTTTCTGCTTTTCAAATAAATACATACATAGATTTTATTATTTTATTATTTATTATTATTATTTATTTAGTTAAGAAAAATAAAGTATATGGAAGAGTGTGCCTAGATTTTGTGTAAATACCACAACATTTTATGTAAGGGACTTGAGAATCTGCAAATTTTGGTGTCCACAGCATGGGTGTGCCTTGGACCAGTGCCCCGTGGATACTGGGGGATGACTATATATATTTTTTTTTCTTTTTTTTTTTTGACAGGCAGAGTGGACAGTGAGAGAGAGACAGAGAGAAAGGTCTTCCTTTTTCCGTTGGTTCACCCCACAATGGCCGCTGCAGCCAGTGCACCGCGCTGATCCGAAGCTAGGAGCCAGGTGCTTCTCCTGGTCTCCCATGCAGGTGCAGGGCCCAAGCACTTAGGCCATCCTCCACTGCCCTCGCAGGTCACAGCAGCGAGCTGGACTGGAAGAGGAGCAACCGGGACAGAATCTGGCTCCCCAACCGGGACTAGAACCTGGGGTGCCGGTGCCACAGGCGGAGTAGATTAGCCTATTGAGCTGTGGCACTGGCCCTTTTTTTAAGATTTATTTATTTGAAAGTCAGAGTTACGCAGAGGGAGAGAGGGAGAGAGAGAGAGAGAGAGAGAGAGAGAGGTCTTCCATCCAATGGTTCACTCCCCAGTTGGCTGCAACAGCTAGAGCTGCGCTGATCAGGAGCCAGGAGCATCTTCCAGGTCTCCCACTCGGGTGCAGGGGCCCAAGGACTTGGGCCATCTTCTACTGCTTTCCCAGGCCATAGCAGAGAGCTGGTTCAGAAGAGGAGCAGCTGGGACTAGAACCGGCGCCCATATGGAATGCCAGTGCTTCAGGCCAGGGCGTTAACCTGCTGCGCCACAGCACCGGCCCCTATATTTTATAACTCTGAATAGGACTTCCCTGTTGTTGATCCTCAGTCACTTAACATTGAACTTAATTCTGCAAAGCTGTTATTTGTATCAGAGCATTCCTCTTGCTACTGTTTTTAAAGTAGGCTGAAATCAGTTCTCCCTTTTGTAGGTTTTAGGGAAATTGAGAGGGCCGTTTAATAGAGGAAAAAGTGTGAGGAGCCTTCTGGGGAAAGACAAGAAGTAGAGTGACGTTTAGGGCGCTATCCTTTCGGCATCACCTTCGTTGAAGGTATTGCCTAATTGCCTTCGCCACTAGAGGCATTCTTCCCTCTAACTCTTAGTGCGTCTGGTGCTTGCCTCCAGCATATTCTCCAAGGCTCTAACCTAGGGGTGATTCTAACACGTTGTTAGTCACGGCTCTTTCCTCCCACCCAGACTGTGGTTGATCTTGGCTCAGAGTAGCAGCATCATGTTGATTTCCTGCCGTTCTTCATTTTCCCTTTCCCCTCATCTCATACTCCTTCTTACCTGCCTTAGGCAGGCTGGATCTTTTCCTACGAGTCCAGGATTTTGGGAAGCTGCTCATTACCCACTTACTACCAGTAAAGGCTTGCTAGAAGTGATGGCAGTGTGAACACCAGTGGTGGGATGCCTGGATTCTGTACCCACATGTGGCTTGACAACACGACTGAGGGATTACTTTTCCTGCAGCTTACTCCTCATGCAGAACATTTAGCTTAATTATCATCCACACTTAGAAGAGTTTGAACTCTTGGAAGCAGTGTTTAAGAAACAAAAAGCAAAAGCAGGCATTTGGGTGGCAGTTTAGTTACCGTGTGGGATGCCTGCATGCCGTAGTGGAGTGCCTGGTTCGATTCCTGACTCTTCTAATTCTGACCCAGCTTCCTGCTGGTGCCTACCTGGGTCGGCAGCAGGTGATGGCTCAAGTACTTGGATCCCTGTCAGCCATGTGAGAGGTACAAATGGAGTTTCTGGCTTCTGCCTGCCCAGCCATGTCTGTTGCAGGCATCTGGGGAGTGAACCAGTAGATGGAAGATCTCTCTCTCTCTCTGCCTTTTACATAGAAAGTAAATAAATAAAAATTAAAAAATAAGTAGAGGGGCCAGGGCAGTAGGCTAATCCTGTGCCTGTAGTGTGGGCTTCCCATATGGGCGCCGGTTCTAGTCCCAGCTGCTCCTCTTCTGAACCAGCTCCCTGCTGTGGCCTGATAAAGCAGTAGAAGATGGCTCAGTCCTTGGGCCCCTGTACCCAAGTGGGAGGCCCAGAAGAAGCTCCTGGTTCCTGGCTCCAGATGAGCGCAGCTCCAGCCATTGCAGCCATTTGGGGAGTGAACCAGCAGATGGAAGACCTGTCTCTCCCTCTCACTCTCTGTAACTCTTTCAAATAAATAAATAAAATATTAAGAAAGAAAGAAAGCAGGAGTATAGTACTATGTATGTGTCCTGGCCTACCATTCCCTATTCCAAAACCCTTTAGGTGGAAATCTGGGTGCTAAGTCTGGTGCCAAAGCATGTTTTTTTGTTTGTTTTTTAAGATTTATGTATTTACATGAGAGGTAGAGAGAAAGCAAGAGAGAAGTTTTCTATCTACTGATACACTCCCCAAATGGCTGCAATGGCCAGAACTGGGCCTATCCAAAGCCAGGAGCCAGGAGCTTCTTCTGGGTCTCTTACGCAGGTGCAGGGGCCCAGATACTTGGGCCATCTTCTGCTATTTTCCCAAGTCATAGCAGAGAGCTGGATCATAAGTGGAGCAGCCGGGACTCGAACCGGCACTCGTATGGGATGCTGGCACTGCAAGTGCTGGCTTTACCCACTGCACCATAGCACTGGCCCCCAAAACACTGTTTTTGTTTGTTTGTTTGTTTAAGATTTTTTATTTATTTATTTGACAGGTAGAGTTTACAGACAGTGAGAGAGAGAGAGACAGAGAGAAAGGTCTTCCTTCCATTGGTTCACTCTCCAAATGGCCGCAATGGCCGGAGCTGCGCAGATCCAAAGCCAAGAGCCAGGAGTTTCTTCCTGGTCTCCCATGTGGGTGCAGGGGCCCAAACACTTGGGCCATCCTCCACTGCCATCCCAGGCCACAGCAGAGAGCTGGACTGGAAGAGGAGCAACCGGGACTAGAACCTGGCGCTCATATGGGATGCCGGCGCAGCAGGCGGAGGATTAACCTACTGTGCCACGGGGCCGGCCCCCCAAAACACTGCTTTTTAAACTGGCAATCTTCCAGGTCTCATTGCTCAGCCCAGCAATTGTGGTACCAAGTTGTACAGAAGCACACATGTGTTGACTGGATCTGGACATTTTTGTTTCGAGGAAGGTGGATTTGAGGGATAAGGGGAAAAGAGGAACAGTGAGAGATACTCTGGCTGTTTTCAAGTCAGTCAGTGATTTGCTGCCTGTGACTGTGGGTACATCCCTTCCCCTCTTAGGACCAGCTTCTCCTGTCAACAAAGGAAAGTCATATCAATTCTATTTCTTCAGGGCGAGAGAAGCATTGCATGGACCAATGAGATGTGTGTAAGGTCTTTCATAAGGGTTAACTCAGATTCTCTCTGTTGGATTAGGATATAGTGCTGAGTGGCTCTGACAAAGAGGACAGACAGGTGGACACAAGGACCTTGGCTGCTGATTCCTAGCCGGGTGGTCTTGTGCCAAAGAAGAGACCAGGAGCTCCCAACACGCTTTCTCCATGGCTGAGTTTCACATTTATTCAATGTGTGATATGGTCTGTCTGTCTGCAGGTAGAATGGAAGAATCTCACTTCAATTCTAACCCATACTTCTGGCCTTCCATCCCCACGGTCTCAGGACAGGTAAGTGGTACTCACTTTTTGCTCTTCCCCATCATTTACTTTCTTCAGTTCGGAGTAGTGAGTTCTGTTGCTGCGGTGACAAGCGAGCTAAAACACATGCTGTTCACTGGATCCCCTTTCGCTGACTTCTTTCTAGAAAGAAAGGCGTAAACTACCCATTCCTTGATCTGTAAGGAGGGCAAACACTGAAGAGTGCTTAGGGAACAGATGAAAGCAGACTCGATCGGTCTGAAGACCCCTTCTGCTCTTTCAGATTGAGAACACAATGTTCATCAACAAGATGAAGGATCAGCTGTTGCCGGAGAAGGGCTGCGGGCTGGCTCCGCCTCACTATCCCACCTTGCTGACGGTGCCTGCCTCGGTGTCCTTGCCCTCGGGCATCAGTATGGAGACAGAGTCCAAGTCAGACCAGCTGACTCCACACAGTCAGGCGTCCGTGACCCAGAACATCACGGTGGTCCCTGTGCCGTCTACAGGACTCATGACTGCTGGTGAGCGACTCCGCCAACTCCAATCTGAGGTGTTGATCTTCCATGATCAGTACCCCAGGCTGGAGGGCTCCAAGCACGTGGGGAGTGGGATATGTGTTTGATTACTCAAATTTTTATTAAGTGCCTACTGTGTGCCTAGCACTGTGCTAGGCATTGTGGGGGATACAAAGAAGTAGAAGATGCGGTCCCTGCCTTTGAGGAGGTGACATTCTTTCCTTCTCTGAATCAAGGAGTCTCCTGTTCTCAGAGGTGGAGAAGAGAAGGGAGTCAATCAAGGGGTAAATCTCACTGTTACTGGGGGTGGGGCGGGGACAGGGGTTAGGAGACCGTTCTTTTTCTACAGGGCTTGGGGTTTCCTACATACTGTGGGCTGGGGGTGGTGGTGAGGGGTTTTTTAGACAATGCTCTGGGGGAAATGAAAAAGACAGCGTCAGAACTGAACAACGTGACACCATCTCCTTTTTCTCCCAATCCTAGGTCCGGGTTTGGTAATCACGTCCCCCTCAGGCTCTCTTGTGACCACAGCCTCATCAGCTCAGACCTTCCCCATTTCGGCTCCCATGATTGTCTCAGCTCTTCCCCCTGGCTCACAAGCCCTGCAGGTGGTCCCTGATCTCTCCAAGAAGGTAGCATCAACCCTAACAGAGGAAGGAGGTGGAGGCGGAGGTGGAGGTGGCAGTGTGGCTCCCAAGCCCCCCCGGGGTCGAAAGAAGAAGCGGATGCTGGAGTCGGGGTTGCCTGAGATGAATGACCCTTATGTCCTCTCCCCTGAGGATGACGATGACCATCAGAAGGACGGCAAGACCTACAGGTAAGACTCAGAGCCAGGGGCAAGACGCAGGTGAGGATCACTGCCTCGACCTCCCCTGCCATCTTCATGTCCGGCCCCAGTCAGGCTCCACACTCCGGAGCTTTCCGCCGCAGAGCCACTTGCATGTCAGCTGTTCTGTCATGGGGTCGGGAGGCAGAGCTGCTGGCATGCCTCCCGTGCCTGGTCCCCCACAGGGCAGGCCCTTTGGACCCCTTCCATTTGTAAGCCCCGGTTTTGGTGACCATCAGCATGGACTTGTTTTAGAGTGACAGAGTAGAAATTTCTCTTTTGCAATAAGGCTCTAGACTGGGTTTGAGACTGTCTTCGGCTCCGTTTTGCTTTCTCCATTCTCCATTCTTATTTTTCCAAGAAATCTTTCTGGTAAGCACCTCATGTAACTTGTGTGCCGTCCACTGGTTCTTGGGCCATATTGGAGCACTGAGCCTGCCTGACCCTGCATGGCTGGGGTGATGGGAGGGGTTTACATACAAAGGTGGGAGGAATAGGATACCTCCCCCTTTTTGGAATATATGTTTATAAAATGACTATTTATTTACCTTCTAATTCTTGGAAGTCATTTCAGTTCTTCACTTATTCGAAGTTGTCCATGACCAAAAAAGCATTACATGCATATTTGCATGTGGTGCTGTAATTACATAAGTAAGCTCCCTGCTCTTTGAAAGCTGAAAATCTTTTCATCCCCTTGAGAGCTTTTGGGCCCTTGTGGGTTTGGTCCCAGGACAGAGTGGGATTACTGCTGTCACAGCTATGATACAGACAGGGGCAGATGTGCATGGCTGGGAGATGGGTCTGTCCTTAGTGTACCGAGATGGGCAATGTTGTTCCCATTTTAGGAGCGAAGGGAACTGCGGCACAGGAAATGGACAGAGCCTTGGGCTCATGGATTCAGTTCCTGGCTCCACCACGAACTTGCTGTGTGACCCTGGGCAAGTCCTTTTCCCCCCTCTCTGGGCCTCAGTTTCCTCATCTGTGAAATGGGGAGAATTCTGTTTATGCCTCCCATTTGTTGGGAGTATATATCAGATAAGATTTGAAATGTTGGGAACTTCTAAAGCAAGATAAATAGTCAGCATGTAGTCTTGATTTTTATTTTTGTTGTACCAGTTTCTCTGTGGAGAACAGTCATGACTATAGTGTTTAAATCCCTCTTTATTAGTGAAATGAGGACAGTGATGCTATGCAGAAAGTATTGAGCACTGCAGAATTCCAGCTCATAATCCCAAAGTTCATTGCAGCTTTATTATTACAGGTGTACCCCACTTTATACAATAAAAGTGTTCCTGGAAAATGTTTACATCATGTCATATAATAAAGGTATCTGAACAGTTTGATTCATTTAAAGGCCTTTGTAAATATATCACTTCATAAAATGAAAATCTACTTTGTTAAGGTGATTTTGTAGAGGTCTGGGTTTTTATGTGTCTGCTTCCCGTGAGGTCACTGTGACCTGGAGATACACCTATATGAAATGCAGGGCTGCAGGAGTAGTGGGAGGGTTTTGTGACACTCACTGGAGTCCTTGTACTTACCTCAGGGTCCTCTGGTTCTGCTGACTTTGTTTCTGGACCCACATTAAAGCTATCTCTGGACTTCCCAGATATGAAAAGAAATGTGAATGTGCTATTGGAAGGAAGTCTTAAAGGACTTTCCATACCTTCAGTGCTTTGGAAATCCTTGGAAGATCCTATGCCCTGGTGACAGCAGTTTAAGGCTGACTAATTGTATCATAGTAAACAGAATTTCTTCAGAAACTCAGAACTGGAGTTCCAAAGGAATGTTTCTTGATCACAAAGAATCTATTTTGATGCATGTGTGGGTCAGCCAGGTCAACCACATCCATTCCAGTGATCACTAGCATTTGCCTGGGTGTTGAGTTACTTCTGGCAAGAAGTTCTGTTACTTTGAGAAGACAATGTTTGTATCTGTTCCCATCTATGAAATGGGAAGATCAGTCACCTCATTTATCATGTGGAAATGTTTTAAGGAAAAATTCAGAGTATTTAAAATTGTTTTGAATATCTTTAGGGAGGGGATAAATGGGATGTTAATTCAAAGTTGTCTCTGAGACCAAGGCCATCCTGTTACTTGCCTCCAAGGGGCACTGTTCTCATTGTGCTGGGTGTGAATGGTGTTCCCTGGAGTAATGCACACAGTGATAAGGGGTGCTGGCTTTTCTGTCCCCTGCTAGCTGCCTGCTGCCACAACTCCAAAATCAGCGTCTTTCTGACCACCTAACACGTTGCATTTAAGGACTTTGACCCTGTGGTTTGGCTTCATGGGATTTAAGAGTTGGAGTCGTTCACTGGTTACGTTCATTGGCAGATGACTGTCCGGCCTGTGCTTGTCAGATGCCTTCAGTGAGGTGTCATGACTTCGTAGTCCGTCGCCCTCTGACAGTTCACTTGCTTTCTGTGCCTTTGTGTTTGCTTCTGTCAAACAGGAATGATACTCGCCAGGTTGTTGTGAGGAGTGAAATAATGTATTTAAAGCTCTTAACCCAGAGCCTGGCAACACCAGATAGCAGACAGCAGTTACTATCATTGTCATTATTCTAACCATCACCATTACACCAAGTACCTTTTGAGACTGCTTGTTCTGTCGTCAGTCTGCTGTCAGTGAACTTGAGATTTACAGAGAAAGCGAGCTTCCATTCACTGGTTCACTCCCTAGGTGGCTGCAATGATTGGGGCTGGGCCAGGCCGAAGCTAAGAGCCTGGAACTCCATCTTGGTCTCCCACATTGGTTGCAGGGGCCTAAGTGCTTGGGACATCTGCTTTCCAGGCGCATTGGCAGGGAGCTTGATTGGAAATGGAACAGCCGGGACTTGAACTGGCACCCGTATGGGATGCTGGTGTCCCAGGTAGTGGCTTAATCTGCTGCACCACAATGCCGATCCCTTTCTTATTAGTTAACTTTCATGTTAAGGGCACAGTTGTATGTTGACATCCTCATACATAAACTAATGAGATTTTATTTGAGAACATGTTCTACCCATTTGAGAAATTTTAGCAATCAAGGGAAGTTATTTTGCAACTTTAATAGCGTTGCTTTCCAAGTGACAGTGTGTCCAGTTTCTAGCCTTAGTCTTAGTAAAATATTAGTAGAATGAGCTTATCTGTCAGCGCTGATGCTGTTAGCACTAGTGGATTTTTACTACTCGAGAACACTTGGTAAGCCTTTGACTGTCTGGCTTGCTGGGTATTTCAGGGGCAAGAATTTAGCTCTCCATTTTACAGACCAGAAAATTGAGGTCTAGGTTAATGAGCAAGTCTGTAACTGAACTGTGAGTAGAACCTAGGTGTCTAGACTCCCATTGGACCATGCTGCATCTAAACAGAACGTCTCCTCCTCTGGTGTGGTGATGAGGCTTCTCATACAACAGCAGGGATTTCCTTCAGAGTTAACAGGTGACCAAAGAAGTAGAAATTGATGTGAATGATTGAAATTTCAGTTAAGGCATTAATGCAGGGTCCATACCCCAACTAACAGTGATACCAGTTTCTCCAAGGAACTCTGTATTCTGTTTAATCTTGAATCTGGTTATTCTGTAAAAAAAATTTTCCTGGGATGAAAAGTCAACACCCCACACCATCCCAAGACCCTGCTGCAAGATAAGTTAGGAGAACCTACAGAAAAGAGACCTGTAGCTGCCTGGCTTCCAGGCCCCTGTCTTACTTGCTCACGTTGAGACCTGCTGGGTTGTTTATGAAAATGACAAGGTTCCAGCACCCATATAGAGAGCTTTTACCCAGCAGAGACTAAATAGTCATGCCTTAATTTACACAGAAGCCTCCTTATTTGATATTGTTGGACAGCGTCAGAGAAGGAAGAAGGATTACCAACTCAGGTGACAACTGAAAGTACATTCACGTGCTGACCTTGACTCCTTGTGCTAGGAAAGAGGAAAGTATGGAAGACTGTTGTTTCACAAACCTTTTGTCCTAGATACTTAAGGGATGTAACCCACTCCCAACAGATACCTGAACTCTTTGGAAGAGTACTTCTCCCCTTGATCACCAAGGGGCTATAGGAGGGTGGTAGATGAATGGTGGAGAGCAGACATCCGTGGGTTGGGAAAAGTCACTTCAAATAATCCTGACAGTTCCTCACCCCCACCCCTCTAGGAATTACTGCCAAACAGAAAGTAAAGGAAACTGAGAGAAGCAAACTTTGAAGATAGGAGAGAATCTAGTCAGTTGTTCCTCATCTCCAAGGGGGCTTGAGAAATACCAAAGGATGTGCCTTATACATGGGGAAACTGGGGAGTGGAGTTCTTTGAAAGTTTGAAATCAGGTTATAGGCAGGAGGGAAACAGACGTTAGCTGGTACTCTGTTTCAGTGAAATCCACATCCTCCCAGAGCCCATCATGCGTGTTGGCCTCATCTGGTTGAATTCTTGTTTTTGCACATTTTAGGGAATCCAGGCATTCAGCAAACATTGTTTATAATGTTCGGGGCACCATGTAAGAGGCTCAGGCTATAGAAGTAAATAAAAGAGAGCTCCTGCTCTCAAGGGCCTCGCTCGCAATGTAGTTAGGAGTAGGAGAGAGATCAGATAGGAAGGCTTCTCTTGGAAATGGAGGGGAGGGCTCAGCAACGCCTTGGTGGTGGGGACGATTCTAACCGCTGCCCTCGTTTGGCCCAGGTGCCGGATGTGCTCCCTGACATTCTACTCAAAGTCGGAGATGCAGATCCACTCCAAGTCACACACCGAGACCAAGCCCCACAAGTGCCCACATTGTTCCAAGACCTTCGCCAACAGCTCCTACCTGGCCCAGCATATCCGTATCCACTCAGGGGCTAAACCCTACAGTTGTAACTTCTGTGAGAAATCCTTCCGCCAGCTCTCTCACCTTCAGCAGCACACCCGGTAAGGCTGCTCTTGGTTCTACCCCACCACCTGGCCATGATCCCCACCCCAAGGCCATGATGCCTGCACCTACTCCTGTCTCCACATGTATTCTTTTTTCCCTTTCACCTTTCCCTTTGGGAGCCTCAAATCTCTCCTATTACTGCCTGAAAAATAAACTGTATCCTAGCAATTGGGGGGGGCCTTGAAAATTGTGGTCTTCAATCCCAAAGTCTGGAACAATTTTTGTGGTTTCTCTCTGTGTCTGTGTTTGGAAATCTTCTGCAGAGCAGGCCCTGCTTTTACTATTTGCTTCAGTTCAGAGCCAAGGTGTGCATTCAACTTCAGGTCCATGGGGACCAGGCGGTATTGGTCTTTGTTCAGATTGCTATTTGGAAGCAGGGTAACTGTGGTGAGTGTGTAACCTTAGGAAAAAGCAGAGGGTTGACGAGACTGGATGCTTTAAGATTACCAGGAGCCCTGGGTTACAGCTCTTCATCATCTCACTGCCATTCTAGCCACCGACTTCTGATCAGCAACAACCTAGCTCTGGGTGTCCTCTTCATTAGCCTCTCCAGGCCGGAGTGTGTTTGGGAGGAGGGAGGAGGGGTGCTCTCATCCGTCAAGCAACATCATTTCACCCAGCAGAGAGCTGAGCCCGTGGTGTCGAACTGCTTCCTCCTCCCCCCTTCCCTCCTCTCCTCTCCGGCAGGATCCACTCCAAGATGCACACGGAGACCATCAAGCCCCACAAGTGCCCGCACTGCTCCAAGACCTTCGCCAACACCTCCTACCTGGCCCAGCACCTCCGTATCCACTCGGGGGCCAAGCCCTACAACTGTTCCTACTGCCAGAAGGCCTTCCGCCAGCTCTCCCACCTCCAGCAGCACACACGGTAAGGGAGAGTGGCGGGCCACTGACCCTGCCCCGCTGGCATGCCCTCCCCACCCCCGCCCCGGACACACACAACAACCCGCATGCGGGGGGCGGGGGAGAGACCTGGCTGGCATCTGGAACAAAGAAGACCAAGCAACAACACTGGCAACGCAAAGTGGACGCTAACAGAAATAGCCTTTCTGGGACCAGAGCTACAGTGGGGAGATGGTCGACTGTGTAATATTCCCTGATTGATGGATCAGTGGGAGGCAGAAACATGAAACACGCCTGGAACAAAGACAACTTTTTGTTCACGCATTTTCCTCCCTGAAACTATCCATGCACACACCTTGCAAGATTCTCTACTTGATGCCAAAGCAGACACATTTGAATGAAGACCATACCTATAGGCCTTGAGGCATCAGCTGTAAACAGGAGATAAAATCAGACATCGCCAGGCCCCAGCCTGGTGACAACGCAACAGGCAAGGCTCTGAAGGATGCCAGGAGAAGAGACCAAGACAAAGTCTGCTAAATATTCACCAAAAGCTGGCAAACAGAAAATGGAAAAGCTCACCTCGTCAAGCGTGGCCACTGTTGACCCCGTGGATCTGCAGTGACTGACTGGGAGGAAGTGATCCTGCCGACTGGGAGAGCTGATGGTTTCCTTCGTGACATGTCAAGTTCGACCACAGCCCAGCTTCCTGCTGGCCGTAGGCCTTCACACCCAGCTTCTTGTAGACCCAGTGATGTCACCTTAAAGTGAACAGACGTCCTGCTTTTCAACGAGAAGTCAGACTTTCTTCACAGAGACAAGACCTGGCCTGTGATGTCCTTGAGATTTTCTACCAGAGGTCCAGAAAAGGATCTGGTCACAGAGAAGGCTCTGAAACCCTCATGAGGAGCAGGAGTCAGTGCATCCTTGGGTCCTTGGGTCACCTTAGCAGAGGGCTCTGTAGCACTGGGGCAAGAGGTCAAATTGGTATGAAACTAGGTATTTCCTGCCATCAGGGAGTGAAACTGGGAAAAGTCTCAAGGAGTTTCTTTGAGTTTCCTTTACTATCACTGCTACCCTCATCAGTTAGCATAACTCTGCTTTTCTTTGATACCAGAACTTACCCTGCAAGCGATGTTCAAGGCTGAAGGGCTAGGTTCTGACTATAGAGGGGCCAAGAAAGCAATGTTGTGTTTTTCTTTTTCCTTGCTGTCGTGTTTGCCTTGTGTTTCTGAATGTTCCTTAGGACAATTAATACGGGAGCTGACTTGTATGCTAATTTGTGAACTGTCTGTCTCTTGGGTGCCAAGGTGCAGTTCTTCCTTCACCGGCGAGAGAAGGCTTAGCTTGAGCTGTGTGGTGCAGGTGGTGGCCAGAAGCCGGGCATTACAGCCTGGTGGGGATCAGAGAGGGCCTGAGCCTGCAGCTCTGGAGGCCCATCTGGTGTGCTTCCTCAGGAGGCCTTATGGAGGTTTAGTAAGGAGCCAGTCCCTAAGTGACCTTGCTGACATCTCTCCCTCTCTTCTCATCCTGTGCAGAATCCACACCGGTGATAGGCCGTACAAATGTGCACACCCAGGCTGTGAGAAAGCCTTCACACAGCTCTCCAACCTACAGGTAAATGTTCTACCCTCCGCAGAAGACCTTGAGTCTGAGACGTGGGTTCAGAGTGACACTGGACTAGTTCAGTGGTTCTCTTTGTTAGCACTCCTTTACATTCTAGAAGTTACTGAAGAACCAAAAGAGTTTTTGTTTTATGTAATTATGAGGGTGCTTCAAAAAGTCATGGAAAAATAGAATTATGAGATAAGTTTAGGGGCAGACATTTTGGCACTGCTGGGGAAGCACATCCCATATCAGAGTGTCAGTTGGAGTCCTGTTTTCCTCCGTTTCTGGTCTGACTTCCCGTCCATGTATCATGGGAGGCAGTGGATGGTGGCTGAAGTACTTGGGTACTTGTGTCACCACATGGTAGACTTGATGGAGCTCCAGACTTGGGGCATCAGCCTGCCTGCCTGCCCTTGGCTGCTGCAGGCATTTGAGGAGTGAACCAGAAAGATGGAAAATATCTCTGTCACTTCTTCTCAAGTAAATATACATAAACTTTGTTTTTTAGAGAAAATATTCTTTATTTTCTCGTAATTTTTTCATGTTTTCCATGAACTTGAACACCCCTTGTATCTGTCTACATAGATGTCATAAACTGAGAAACTTGAAAGGTACTTAGTGATCTGTTTAAAAAATAACTATAAATTCATTGCATGTTAACTTATATGATATATTCCCAAATGTCAAAAAAAAACTTAATGGGAAGAGTAATTTTTTATAATGATTTATTTATTTGAAAGTCAGAGTTACACAGAGACAGAAGGAGAAGCAGAGAGAGAGAGGTCTTCCATCTGCTGGTTCACCCCTCATTTGGTCACAATGGCTGGAGCTGCACTGATCAGGAGCCAGGAGCTTCTTCTGGGTCTCCCACACAGGTGCAGGGGCCTAAGCACTTGGGTCTTCTGCTGCTGCTTTCCCAGGCCATAGCAGAGAGCTGGATCGGAAGTGGAGCAGCTAGGACATGAACCGGTGCCCATAGGGATGCTGGCACTGCAGGCGGAGGCTTACCTACTAAGCCACAGCACTGGACCCCTCTCATGTCATTTCGAAGAGTTTTGGCTTTGTGGCCCCCTAGATAAAGCCCTCTTGTGTCGTCCATGCCTCACTTGGAGAACTGGCATAAACTGTCATTCTGTCTCCATCCTGGTCTGGGCTGCATGACATGTTTTCTCCCTTAGCCTCTAGCTCCTGAAGTTCCTTTTGAAACAGTTTCTGCTGCTTTCAGATGGAACAAGAAGCTCGGAGGCCTGACACGCACCTTAGGGCTTTCTGTAAAGATCAAGGAGGCAGGAGGAAAGCGTGCAGTGCACTCAACAGGTTTCTCCCAATTTTTTCAGTCCCACAGACGGCAACACAACAAAGATAAACCTTTCAAGTGCCACAACTGTCATCGGGCGTACACAGATGCAGCCTCACTAGAGGTCCACCTATCTACGCATACAGTGAAGCACGCCAAGGTGTACACCTGCACTATCTGTAGCCGGGCGTATACATCAGTGAGTGCTCAGCTTCTTCTCTTTCCTCCCGCAGTCCTGCAAGATGCCACTCCACCCCAGTCTTTCAGGTTGCAGCAAATACCCCATCTCCCTGGCTCCAACTTGGCAGAATCGTTAAAGATTCAGAAATTAATTAGATTTACAGTTGAATTTAGGAGATGCCTAATCCCCTAAGCCTGTAGAGATAGATAAATCATCTTTGTTCGTTTGACTTAAATATAAGGCAAAACAAAACCACCTGAAATCTGGGGGAGAAAGAGACTTGGTTTTTCCCAGTAGATTCTGGAAAAATGTTGTAAATTTGTCCCATTCAGAACTCTTTAAGAAAAATGGCAGCGTTTCCTTTTCAGTGTCCATAGTGCCTTTTAAAGGTCGCCTTCTGCCTGTGTCTGGTGCTGAGCCCTGGAAGTGCTGCTTGAGTTCTGCTGACTCCTGGCTCCAGAATGTTTGTAAATATTACTCAGCCTAATGCATAGCAGCCCAGATGCTAGGTGTGAGGAACCTGTGTGTCTCTCATCCCTCAGCTTGTTTTTACCATCTCTCTCAGGAAACATACCTTATGAAACACATGCGCAAACACAACCCTCCTGATCTCCAGCAGCAAGTGCAGGCGGCAGCGGCGGCAGCAGCAGTAGCCCAGGCTCAGGCCCAGGCCCAGGCCCAGGCACAAGCCCAGGCCCAGGCACAAGCCCAGGCCCAGGCCCAGGCCTCCCAGGCATCGCAGCAGCAGCAACAACAGCAACAGCAGCAGCAGCAACAGCAGCAGCCACAACCACCACACTTCCAGTCTCCTGGGGCAGCCCCCCAGGGTGGGGGTGGTGGGGACAGCAACCCTAACCCTCCACCCCAGTGTTCATTTGACCTGACCCCCTATAAGACGGCGGAGCATCATAAGGACATCTGCCTCACTGTCACCACCAGCACCATCCAGGTGGAGCACCTGGCCAGCTCCTAGAGATCCGTGCTGCCGCCCACTGGGAAGAGGAGGAGGAAGCTCTGGTCCCTGCTTTCTCCAACTCCTCTTGGTAGAAAAAGTCCTCTTCTTCTTGACAAGCCTTGGCTACGTCTCCTTGGGCCTCAGGCACGGCTTTTTCATCATAAGACATCATCCTTATTCTCTACTCTTCAAAAGGAACATCAGCCTTCCTGATTGGCAAAGGAATACTGAGCTGATGGTGAATCCAGCAGCTTCCCCTCCCAAGCAAAGCTTTTAAATTGGGGGTTGGTGCTCAAGGGAAGGATTTGCTATGACCTCAAAAGAACTTGCCCTTTGTGGGTATTTGCCCTCTCCTCACCCTCCTCATCCTCAAAATTTGGGCTGATGTGGACTAGAGGCTGGCCCTTCCTGATCACAGAGAAGAGGGAGCCCTAGCTGCAACCAGCCTCCTGTTCTGTCCTTGCCGGCAAAAGAACAGAGGCTTTTCATGTGCCCGAATCCCTGAGGGCATTCTCTTCCTTCCATGATCTCACTTCACGATTTGGGGGGGGAATTAGACCTTTTCTTTCTAAGGGGGCAGGGGCTGAGATGTGGTCTCCAAGGGGCCAGACGTGAAGGGTGGCTTGGAAGTGTGGGTTATGGTTTTCCTTGGAGCCTCTCCCCATTCTCAGCCAGCCAAGGCCCTATACACTCAGTCTACCTATCCCAAACCCCAAGGAGCTGTGGGATTTTGTGTTCTCTGAAACTCCAAAACAAAGGGTGTTGCAGAGAAGGGGAGAGACAGGGCAAACACACGGACTGGACTTAGCTCCCCAGGTGCCATGGTCAGATGCCGGACACGGATTTATATATAAATATATATATAAATATATATATATACCCACTCATCACGGCCATCTTTGTTGTAACCATTTCTGTGTTTATAAATGCATTATCTCTGAGAATTTTCATATTTGATGTTTTGTTTATTTTTGTCTTTTTTTCCTCCACCCTGTCTTCTGGCCATGACATTTTTGTTTCCTTTTGACTTTTTAAAAAAAAAATCATGGCAGATTTCAGAGAAAAGAGAAAATTTTAAAAAAATCAGGAAACAAGTTGTTATAAAGCAGTTTAAAAATGAAGAAAAAAAGAAACTTATGTACAAACTAAGGGGTGTTTTTAGAACATTGTATAGAAATAAATTCATGTAAAAGGATCAGAGGCAGTGGAGCTACTGATGTGAGCAAGTGGGACAAAGCTCTGGGGACATGTTCAAGGCCAGTGCTGAGGGTTTACGCCAGTGGGTGTATGAAGAGTGAGTGCTTGTGTGACGAGGCTCCATGTGTGTAATTCCCCAGCCAGAAAAGGATGCCCTTTCATTATCTCTTAAGTGAGATCTTGGTTTATGAGGGTTTCTACACACTAATTCTGTCATGAGGTTTGCATTGCCTAAATATATGAGAATAGGGTTTCAGTTCTCACCATCAAAAAAAAAGAGAAATGGCCTCTCCAAAGGACCTATGATGGGCTCCAGGAATTGCAGTTGGCAAAGCGTGTACACACACACCCTGTGCACCTTCAACCAGAGGCTCCCAGTGGTGGGAACCCTCATGGGTGCAGGATTAACAATGCAGAATGGAGTTCTGAGGAGTGAGCATGGTCTGGAAGCTCATACCTGGGTCTGGACCCCACCACCTCCAGTGTTGGCCCCAGTGCCTCTTGGAGCTGTTAATGAAGGAATTTGGTAATTTCCAAGATTTACTTTCAAGAATTGAAGACTAAACAGAGAGTTGTGACCAAACTCCAACACCTGACAACTGGTGGATCTCTGGGACTACTTGGCAAACAGTGTTTGGCATGGCACAGATCCTTGGTTATTCAATAATGCCCACTTGATTTGCTGGGCAGGCAAGATAATGGCTACTGCTGCAATACTGAGCAATTAGCAAGTATATTTGGTGACCAAATATGCCAGTGTTTGGTCGCTTCCTGAGCATTTACTGCCTCTACTCACGGCAGAAAAGGGCGTGATGGTCTTCACCAATATTAGAACAGGAACCTTTTTAAGGATACACAGACACTGCAACAACCCTGTGAGGTAGGTACTGTTCCTACTGTATAGAAAGTGAAAAGTGCACAGATTACTTGTCTAAGGGCAAGGCACCTGTAACTTCAGAGGGGAGATCCTGTACCCTACAATTGCTCAGTGGCCAACTTGGGGGTCCACCTTGCCCTTCCACGTACTTATATTACGTGACTGAAAATATTAGAAACCTGCCACATGGCATTGATAGTAATTGCGATGGACGGGGTGACTATATAACACCACTAGTTGGTTACGGGTTTTGAGTTCTGATTCTCCCATGAGGTACAGCCCTGATGGAAAACATTGAGATCACTAGACTACAGCTGACCAGGGCGATGGCTGGCATTTAACTGGCCTAATTGTGGTAAGAGTTCCATGCCCCAACCCCTTCATAATTATGTTAACATCACATAAGAACTCAGAAGGGAAGCAAAACGTGAGATTTCCTCAGTGACACGAGGGTAAGGTCAGAAGCACTACATTTGTGCTGCTGATAAACGCTGTGCAAAATTACCTTTATTTTCTAATTGTATTTAAAAGCAGGAAGTTTATAAATAATGAATCAACTTGAGAAATAATCCAGGGGAGATGGTGTTCGTGTGAACACAAATACGGAGCGTTTAAATCTCAGAGCCTCATACTGCTTTCCAACTTCCTAGCTTGCCTAAAAGTCCTGTTTCAGCCGGGACCTCCTCTGCTTACCAGACTCAGACTCTGCAAAAGAAAAAAGTTGGCCTCCCTTCTTGAAGAAAAGAGACCTTTACGGGCCCAATCCTAAAGAGAAGCTTCTATCCCCATTACCACACATCGCCGTTTTGGAGGGGAAAAAAAAAAAAAATTTGCAAGAGAATGCAAAATGGCGACCTCCAGTGACGTCATACCTGTCTCGGTCGCGTACTGGAGTCTCAGTAAGGGCGGAAGTCGGCCACAGCCGCCTCACTTCGGGCGCTCGTGGCTACTCACGCAAAAGGAAAACATCCAACGTCGGGCGGATGTGTCCGGGCAGGTAATTTACTAAGGGCGGAAGTTCTTTTAAGGGCGGAAATACTATGACCCAAGAATAGCTTCCGGGGCGAATCGGAAGTTGCTTTGTTTTGCTCCAAGATGGCTGCGGGGATGTATTTGGAACATTATCTGGACAGTAAGAGCAGGCTGGAGGAGGGGGTCAGGGGTCGTAGAGTGGTGTGGGGATTGGGGCTGAGAGGATCTGTGGTCCCGAAGTCCCGGCGGTGAGCAGCTCCTAATTGTGCAGGGGTTCCGTGGGAGGCAATACTGAACGGTGTCAAGAAAGAGGGGGCGGGGCAGTAGGGTCGAGGCCTCTGGGTTGAGGGTCGGCGAGGGAGGACTTGCGCGGAGGGTCTCAGGATTTGTCTTAAATGGCTGGTCGACGAAACACGGAAGATTTTGCCGCTCCAGTTCTTTAGGGTCCCCAGCCTCGGGGTAGATTGGTTCCCCCCGGGGGTGGTTCAGAGTCGGTGTCACCCACTGCCTTTTGGAGCAACGGCCAAGACCTGCTCTAGTCTCCTGGTTCTTTCCCAAGTGGTTTCTCTTGAGGCTGGGGTGGTGTTGAGTGACCGCTATCAGATGGTGAACCGGAACGCTTCAGGGAGTAAAGGTCTGATTCCCTTCAAATGGAGATTAGTGCTGTTTATGCCGTTAGTGTAACCCACCCCTTCACAAAGCCTGGCCCCTGCTGCACTTACGTTTGTCTTAGTGTCACCAGTCATTCGTTCGACAAATACTGAGTTCCTGCTATGGGTCAGACATAGTGAGGATTTTTTTTTTTTTTAATTTATTTATTTGAAAGGCAGAGAGGCAGAGGCAGAGAGGGAGAGGGCTTCCATCCACTGGTTCACTCCCCAAATGGCCACAATGGCCAGAGCTGGGCCTATCCAAAGCCAGAAATCTGGAGCTTCTTCCAAGTCTCCCAGTAGGGTGCAGGGGCCCAAGGACTTGGGCCATCTTCTACTGCTTTCCCAGGCCATAGCAGAGAGCTGGATTGGAAGTGGAGCAGCCAGGACTTGAACCAGCTCCCATATGGGATGCTGGCACGCAGATCAGAGCTTTAACCTGCTGAGCCACAGCGCTGGCCTCATGAGGATATTTTTTAAAATGAGGAAGACACAGGCCCTGCCCTCAAGAAGCACGTGATCTAGTAGAAGTCAGATGCTGCAAACACTCATATATATATATATATATATATTTATAAAAGTGTGGCAGGAAATATTACAGATATAAGTACAGTGGTTAACAGTAGAGAGAAAGGGGCTAATTACCTCGGGATGTAGGTGAGGCTTTGCAGAGGAGGCAATATTTGAACAGAATCTTGAAGATTCAACTGTTTACTTGCTGTATGGGGAAGGAAAGGTAATGCTGTGGCAAAGGTAGACAAGCAAGACAAGATCTTGCTTGTCGCAAGATCATGGGACGATGAGGTCAGAGTCTGATATATACAAGGAGACATCCCAAAGCTCATGGAGAATAGAATTAAAAGGTGTTTATTTTGGTCCAGATTTTTTATTTGAAACATTTATTTACTTGAAAGGCTGGGTGACAGAGAGGGAGAGAAAGAGGTCTTCCACTCTCTGGTTCACTGCCCAAATCCCTGCAACAGCCAGGGCTGGGCCAGCTGAAGCCAGGATCCAAGAGCTCCATCCAGGTCTCCCCCGTGGGTGGCGGGAACCCAAGGACTTGGGCCATCTTCTGTTTCCTTCCCAGGCACATTAGCAGGAAGCTGGATTGGAAGTGGAGTAGCTGGGACTTGAACTGGCCCTCTGATATGGGATGCTGGCATTGCAAAAGGCTGCTTAACCTGCTGCACCAAAACACTGCCCCGACCCAATTATTTTTTAAAATCCTGGCGTATATGAGATCCTCAGAAGGCTCATGGCAAGTGCATATTCTGAAAAATATATGCATTGATTTCAGTCTTTTCTGGACCAGAACTTTTTTTGAAGATTTATTTATTTATTTGAGAGTTGGAGTTACAGAGAGGGAGAGACAGAGAGAAAGGTCTTCCACCACTCCCCCAAATAAATAGCTGCAACAACTGGGGCTGGGCCAGGCCAGAGCCAGGAGCTTCTTCTGGCTCTCCCACACGGTGTAGAGCTGGAGCGGAAGTGGGGCAGCTGGAACAACCTGGTGCCCATACGGGATGCCAGTGCTGCAGGCGTGGCTTTAACCTGCTGTGCTGCAGTGCCAGCCTCAACCCGATTTTTCTGTATTCTGTTTTTCCATTAATGTGTTAAAGTACTATCACATGACCCTAAAAAGAGAGCTTGGGAAATGAGACTAAAGGAGGAGGCTAGAGCTAGATTGGGCAAGCTCTTTTTTTTTTTTTTTTTCCTAAAGATTTATTTTATTTTTTATCTGAGAGGCGGGGTTACAGAGAGGGAGAGACAGAGAGAGTGAGCGAGAGCAAGCTTCCATCTACTGGTTCACTCCCCAAAGGGCCACAACAGCCAAGGCTGGGCAAGCTAAAGCCAGGAACCTGGAACCTCCAGTCTCCCACATGGGTGCAGGAGCCCAAGCACTTGGGCCATCTTCTGCTGCTTTCCCAAGTACATTAGCAGGGAGATGGATGGGAAGTGGGGGGCCACGACTCAAACCAGTGCTCATATGTGATGCCAGCACTGCAGGCAGCAACTTAACCTGCTACGCCATCGCTGGCCCCTGGGCCAGGTTTTTTCATCCAAGCTAAGAAGTTTGGATTTAAACTCCAGTGATTATTTTGAGAATGATGCTTTGTGGGTTTTTTATTATTTTTGTTGTTTTAAGATTTATTTATTTATTTATCTGAAAGCAGAGAGAGAGAGAATGAGATCTTCCTGGTTCATTCCAGCAAGTGGCTTCAGTGGCTAGGGCTGGGCCAGGCCAAAGATACGAGCCTGAAGCTCCATCTGGGTCTCCTACGTGGGTGTCAGTGACTCAAGCACCTGGGCCGTCTTCTGCTGCTTTCCCAGGCACATTAGCAGGGAGCTGGATCAGAAGTGGAGCAGCTGGGGCTGGAACTCGTGCTCTGATTTGGGATGCTGGATCACAGGCAGCACTGTGCCACAATGCTGGCCCTCAGTGTTATTTTTATAAAGGAAAATAAGCTACGTTTGATAAATTGGATCCAGATAAATTTGGTAACGTGGGGATCAGTTAGTGAAAACAGTCTGGGTCAGAGATGTGGGCCTGATCTCAGAGAGTAGAAGTTAAATATGCCAGGAGTTAAATATGCTGACTGAATGAGGGGTTGAGCAAGAAGGGAGAATTTCCGGTGACTTCTTCCTGCTGGAAAGTGAGGCTGATGTGTACCATCAGCAAGATGGGAAATCCAGCAGAAACAACAGTGTGTTTAATTCCATTTAGAGGGAAGCATAGGACTGGTTATTATAGCTATGAGGGCAAACAAGATTCTTCAGGAAAACAAAGTGAGAAAATGAGAGGACTGAAGTGTAACCTCAAGAAAACATTCACATTGAAAGGATAGACCAAGACATGTCAGTGTTGAAATCACCAGGAGGTGTATAATCAGATGTGAATCCTGAGAGGCAGGAAGTTACTCCAAGGAGGGAAGATGGTGCCAGCTGCTGCATGACATTTATTTTTCGGTTATTTTTGAATTGTAGAGAAGGCAATCTGCCCTCCGCTGGTTCACTTCCCAAATGCCAGCAACGGCTGGAGCGAGTCAAAGCCAAAACCAGGGCCAGGAACTCACTATGGGTCCCCCATCGAGTGTCAAAGATCCGGCTGCTTGCAGCATCACCACTGCCTTCCAGGGTGCACGTTAGCAGGAGTGTGGGAGCGGAAGCAGAGCTTGGACTCCACCCCAGGCGTTCCCACACAGGTGTGTGAGTCCAGAATTGCATTTTAATTGTTAGGCCAAACATCTACCCCTGCACAGATTTTTTTTTTTTTTTTTTTTAGAATAGAAGTAATAAGAGATCGTTTGATTGGATAAGTCATTTTTGATTTGAAGCACTAAGTGACTTGGCAATAGCAGGCCTGAGGTGCGTTAAAGCAGTAGAGGCATTTTGAAAGTTTGAGGTAGAGTCATGGGAAGAGAAAAAAATGTTCCTTTATGGAAAAATAAATTATTACAAGTATTTATTGAGTACCTTCTGTATGCAAGGCATAATTCTAAACACTAGGGAAATAGGTGAACGAGACAGACTTGTCTCTGCTCTTGTGGAGAGCTAGGGAGACAGATACCAAATAACTAATTGTGTAGTTACTAAAGCTGGATAAGTGTTTTAAAAAAATTGAAGTAGGCTGGCGCCGCAGCTCACTTGGCTAATCCTCCGCCTGCGGCACCGGCACCCTGGGTTCTAGTGCCGGTTGCGGTGCCAGATTCTGTCCCAGTTGCTATTCTTCCAGTCCAGCTCTCTGCTGTGTCCCGGGAAGGCAGTGGAGGATGGCCCAAGTGCTTGGGCCCTGCACCCCCATGGGAGACCAGGAGGAAGCACCTGGCTCTTGGCTTCGGATCGGCGCAGCACACCAGCCGTTGTGGCCATTTAGGGGGTGAACCAACGGAAGGAAGGCTTTTCTCTCTGTCTCTCTCTCTGTCTCTCAATGTCTAGCTCTGCCTGTCAAAAAAAAAAAAAAAAAAAAAAAAAAAAATTGAGGTATAGGGGCCAGTGCTGTGGCTTAGCGGGTTAAGCCACTGCCTGCAGTGCAGGCATCTCATGGGTGCTGGCTCGTGTCCCTGCTGCTCCACTTCATTCCAGCTCTCTGCTAGGCCTGGGAAAGCAGTATAAGATGGCCCAAGTCCTTGGGCCCCTGCACCTGTGTGGGAGACCCAGAAGATGCTCTTGGCTCCTGGCTTCGGATCAGCACAGCTCTGTCCGTTGTGGCCATCTGAGGAGTGAACCAATAGAAGGAAGACCCCTCTCTCTGTCTCTCTGCCTCTGCCTCTCTCTAACTCTGCCTTTCAAATAAAATAAATCTTTTTTTTTTAATTGAGATACAGTACCTTGATAGTATGCATCTGGACACTCGCTCATGAGAGTCTGGGCAAGTCAGATTTGAGCTGACCTCTGAGCAGTGAACAGGAAGAAGCCCAAGAGACGTAGTGGGGGGGGGGTGAGGAAAACCCAGCAGTGTGTGCAGGCAGAGAGAACAGCGTGTGGAAGTCTGTGTTGCAGGAGCAGCCCTGGTGAGTTTGCACAACTCAGGGATGGCCAGTGTAGCCAGAGCAGAGAGTGTGAAGAGACACCAGGATGAGCTGAGGCTGCTGGGAGGTGTGCAAGGACCTCAAAGTAGAGAGCTTCCAGGAGCAGTCAGGAGATACTGGAAGGCTTAAGGAGGAGAATGACTTGATCAGGTTGTCAAATTTTCTTAATTGTCATTATTTATTTGAAGGGCAGAGAGACGGTCCATCCACTGAATGACTCCCCAAATGCCTGCGACAGCCAGGGCTGGGCCAGGCTAATGCTAGAAGCCAGGAACTCCATCTGGATCTCTCATGCAGGTGGCAGGGCCCCAGCTGCTTGAGTCGTCACCTGCTGCCTCTCAGGGTTCCCATCAGCAGGAAGCCAGAATCAGGAATAGAGCTGGGACTTGAGCATGGGTGTTCCGAGACGGCATACGGGTGACCCGGTTGGCCTTTTTTATTTTATTTTATTTTTTTTAAGATTTTATTTACTTATTTGAGAGGCAGAGTTATAGATAGTGAGAGGGAGAGACAGAGAGGTCGTCTATCCGCTGATTCACTCCCCAGATGGCCACAACAGCCAGAGCCGAGCTGATCTGGAGCCAGGAGCTTCCTCTGGGTCTCCCACATGGGTGCAGGGGCCCAACCACTTGGGCCATCTTCTACTGCTTTCCCAGGCTATAGCAGAGAGTTGGATAGGAAGAGGAGCAGCCAAGACTAGAACTAGCACCAATAGGGGATGCCAGCACCCCAGGCAGAGGATTAACCTTCTGCTCCATAGCACCAGCCCCCCAGTTGGCATCTTAACAGCTACCAGATGCCAAGCCCCAGTTTGCATTTTCAGAAAGAACATTTAGGCTGCTATATGGACAGTAGCTTGGAGGTATGTGTATGGTGAGGAGCAGTAGTCCTAGGAGACAAGGAAGACATTTGCAAGTTGAGGGTGGGGCCAGCATTGTGGTACAGTGGGTTTTAGCCACTGCTTACAATACCAGTGTTTCATATTGAAATGCTGATTTAAGTCCCAGCTGTTCTGCTCTGATCCAGCTCCCTGCTGATGTGCCCAGGAAAGCAGTGGAAGGTGGCTCAAGTACTTGGGCCCCTGCCACCCATCGTGGAGACCAGGATGGAGTTTCTAGGCTCCTGGCTCAGTGAACCAGCAGATGGAAGATCTCTGTCTCTGTTGCTCTGCCTTTCAAGTAAATAAATAAATAAGTCCTTTAAAAAGAACAGAAAGTTGGAGGTTGTAAGTAAGGGGTTTGGAGGCAGAGACTGAGAATAAGGGAAAGGATTAGCTTTGTGGCCAAAGTGCTTGGGCCTTTGCCACCCACTTGGGAGATATGGGTGGAGTCAGGCTCCTGGCTCAGCCCTGGCCATTGTGGCCATTTGGGGAGTGAATCAGCGGATAGAAGACCTGTCTCTCTCTCTCTAACTGTGCTTTTCAAATAAATATATCTTAAATAAAATAAGGAAAAGGCAGGAGTTATTAGTAGAGTAAGGTCACCAGAGAGGAAAATGGTGGGATAGCCATGGAGATTTGAAGAGGTGAGCTTGGGACGGGGAGGGAGGTGAACACAGCCTCATGTTTGAAAGGAACAGTGGGGACTGGTGTTGTGGCACAGTGGGTTAAGCTGTTTCCTGTGGTGCCTGCATCCCATATAGGAGCACAGGTTTGAGTCCTGGCTTTTCTACTTCTGATCCACCTGCCTGCTAACACACTTGGAAGGCAGCAGAGAATGCCCAAATACTTGGGGCCCTGCCACTCATGTGGAGTCCATGATGGACTTCTGGGCTTCTGGCTTTGATCTGGCCCAGCCCCGGCCATTGTGACCATTTGAGGAGTGAACTAGCAGATCTAAGATCTCTTTCTCTCTGTGTGTCTTCCTCTGTCACTTTGCCTTTCAAATAAAATAAATTTTTTTAAAACAAATATTTATTTGTTTTATTTGAAAGAGTTACAAAGAGGGAGAGGCAGAGGCAGAGAGAGAGGTCTTCTATCCACTGGTTCACTCCCCAAATGGCTGCAATTACCAGGGCTAGGCCAGACCAAAGCCAGAAGCTTCATCTAGGTCTCCCGTGTGGGTGCAGGGGCGCAAGGATTTGGGCCATCCTCTGCTGTTTTCCCAGGCGCATCAGCAGGGAGCTGGAAAGGAAGTGGAGCAGCCAGGACTTGAACCAGTGCCCATATGGAATGTCGGCACTGCAGGCAGCAGTTTTATCTGCCACACCACAGTGGTGGCCCCCAAATAAATAAAGTCTTTAAAAAGAATAAAGCTGTCACAGATGGATCCCAGAAACCCAACTGCACTTGGAAAGGAGCTTTCAGGGCAGTGCACAGCCCAGTGATGCTCGGCTTCCTTCTCTTCCCTAGGCATCGAAAACCTGCCCTTTGAGTTACAGAGAAACTTTCAGCTCATGAGGGACCTGGACCAGAGAACAGAAGGTGCGTACAAGTATGGGGAGTGTGTGCCATCGTTTGCTTCTCTGCTTGGTGTCGCCAGGCCATCTGGTATGATCTGGAGAAATGTGGCTTTGCTCTCTCTTTTTTTACTCTCGTAATTCCTGAGCAAAGATAATGATGAACCTCCTTCCTCCATGAGTTTCTCCATAACAAATGGAGTATGTAGGCAGTACTGGAGAACTCAAAGATGTCACATTGCTTATACTTTTCTCAAGAAGAATTCAAGTTAACAAAGTTGAGAGTCTAGAGTCATTTCTACTCTCCATGTTCAGTATGTGTATGGGATGACCGCGTTATTAATGCACTGTGACAGAAATCAGTGTGGCTTTAGACTGCAACTCGTCTTGGGAGACAGGAGCTTTGCTGTATAAGAAATTCTTAAAAAAAAGAAGAAGGAAAGGAAAGCAGAAATTAATGTCAAGATCTCTGTACCATATTCTTCAACCTCCTAGAAGCATTAGATTCTGTCTCTGGCCTTGGACATTGAGCAAATTTGGCTGCATTGAGATGTTCACTTGGAGCCAGAGAAAGGCTACTGCAGTGGTCAGGTTGGTCTCTTCAAGATCAAAGGTCCCCGTTGGAGCTGTCCTCACACCCACTGAGGGCTGTGCAGGTCTTATCTTCCATCCCGTGTAAGCACACTCACGGATGTGACAAGCTGGTGTTGGGGTACACGCAGCTGTGTCCAGAGTTACTCTGGGTAAGTTTACTCATGAAAAGAGACATCATCTATGGTCCTGGACACAGACCCCTGAGCACTGCCTGCCAAGCCTTGAGAACCAGCTTGCTTGCTTTATAACACAGATGTGCCTCTGAGTTTATGCACGGAAGGAGCACTGGGAGATTACGGAACTGCCTGCTTTTGCAGCTTCGTCCAAGGGCCTGGCGTGAAGTAGGGTATAAACATGGTGTGTTCACAGAGCCTGCCTGTGATCTGTTAGAGTCAGACTTTGTCTCTTCCTGGGACTTTTTTTCTGAGGGAGTAAACATCTACAGTCTGGATGTGCTGGGACACCAGCGGCTTTCCAGTATCAGAATGTTCAGAGCAGTATCAAAGGCACACAAAGAGAAACAGCACAATGGGAAGGCTGACGACAAGCAGAATCGTGTGTGGGCAGCAAGGTGAGCAGGAGAACTGCTGCCCAGACGGGGTAGGGCCTGGTGCCGCCTCGGGAGGGAGCGAGCACAGACCTGGCAAGCCAGCAGCTGCAGGTGCCCCAGCCTGGCGTGCCGCTGGCAGTCAGAGCTGCTGTGGGATGTTCTTGAGACAAGAAACAAGGCATCTTTGGAGACAAAATTCATGGTTAAGGAGCAGCACGCCTGCAAAGAAGCATCTTCAGACTTCCACAAAAGAATACTGCATATTTTTTGAAAGGTTTTATTTATTTGAGAGGTAGAGTTACAGACAGAGAGAGGGAGAGACAGAGAGAGGTCTTCCATCTGCTGGTTCACTCTCCAAATGACCCCAACGACCGGAGCTGGGCCGATCAGGAGCCAGGAGCTGCTTCTGGGTCTCCCACGCGGGTGCAGGGGCCCAAGCACTTGGGTCATCTACTGCTGCTTTCCCAGGCCATTAGCAGAGAGCTGGATCGGAAGTGGAGCAGCTGGGACATGAACCGGCGCCTATGTGGGATGCCGATGCAGCAGGCTCAGCCTACTATGCCACAGCGCCGGCCAGTATGCTGCTTATTAATGTGTGCAAAGGCTCCCTGGATGAGTTTCAGTAATTTAAGTTTCAACTATAATAGCAGTGTTTTCCACACCTCGAAGGCTCCTGTCAAATGCATATTGTTCTTGTGTTGCATTACTTGAGTACGTGGCACAGGGCCTGTGAACGTTCACCCGCTTTAGTCTGAGAGTTTTGGTCAGTGACAAAGGTCCAAGGAACAAGAGAAGAAGTGTGTTTCACCCAGCCACTCAGGGGCCATTGTGACCTGGCCTCTGTCTCTGTTGTAGACCTGAAGGCTGAAATTGACAAGTTGGCCACTGAGTATATGAGTAGCGCCCGCAGCCTGAGCTCCGAGGAAAAATTGGCCCTTCTCAAACAGATCCAGGAGGCCTATGGCAAGTGCAAGGAGTTTGGTGACGACAAGGTGCAGCTTGCCATGCAGACCTATGAGATGGTATGGCCCTGTTCATGGCCCCCCACCTTACCTCCCGTCTAGTCCTCAGGGTCTTAGACCCCGCCTTCAGCTGTACTGGGCTCTGTTTGGGGTCTGGGAGAACCGTAGAATCTGCCTTCGCCTAGCTTTTTATTGGAACCAGCCTTACACGGTTCTCTTCTCTTTCCTTCCCACGCAGGTGGACAAACACATTCGGCGACTGGACACGGACCTGGCCCGTTTTGAGGCTGATCTGAAGGAGAAACAGATTGAGTCAAGTGACTATGACAGCTCTTCCAGCAAAGGCAAAAAGAGTGAGGAGGGGGGCGGGGCTATGAGGCCTGGGGCCAGGAGTCCAAGGGAGAAGCAGCCAGCTTTTCACCCCCGAGGGCGGGGCACAGGTTTGGAAAGAGGGGGGAGAAGGAGGACTTAACCCATCTTCCTGTCTCCCCGCCTCTGGCTCCCCCACTTCTCCCCCGGAAGGTCGGACTCAGAAGGAGAAGAAAGCTGCCCGCGCTCGTTCCAAAGGGAAAAACTCAGACGAGGAAACCCCCAAGGCCGCCCAGAAGAAGCTAAAACTAGTGCGCACGTGAGTGAGGCAGGGCGCCCTTCTCCAGATGGCACACTCTTCTTCTGTCCCCAGGCCCCACTCGCCCCCAGCACTGCCGCTTGCCGTTTTCTCTGGCTTCTGTGCCAGAAACTCTCTTCCTTAGCGTTTAGGCTTCTGCTCGTTAGAGAGGAGAAGCTCTGAGCCCTTGGCCCCACCGGGGTCTCCTCCTGCCACCTCTGAGCGCCTCAGGTTGTAGCTTCCCTTTCTGCAGATGACACTTTCTCTTCCTCTTGGCATGCAGAAGTCCTGAGTATGGGATGCCCTCAGTGACCTTTGGCAGTGTCCACCCCTCTGATGTGTTGGATATGCCTGTGGATCCCAACGAACCCACCTATTGCCTTTGTCACCAGGTCTCCTATGGAGAGATGATTGGCTGTGACAACCCTGATGTGAGAACCATTTTGCTTCAGATGGGGGTGCTGAGGGGCGTAAAGGGAGTGGGCACAAGCGGTGAGGGGGTGCCTATGGTTGAATAGTGGTAATTCAGCACAGGAGGATGGTGGTTGGGGCTGGCTGGGCATGGGACCTCCAAGAACTCCCCCAGTGGGATGGACTAAAGGGCTACTCCCAGGCAGTGTGTGGGGGGGGCTCTGTCTCACCCTGGCCTCTGACCGCGTCCCTCTTCCTCTTTTTCCAGTGTTCCATTGAGTGGTTCCACTTTGCCTGTGTGGGGCTGACCACCAAGCCTCGGGGAAAATGGTAAGAGAGGATGTGGCAGGAGCTAGCTGCCCTGAGCCCAGTGGTCCAGAGTGGTCTCCCTGTCGCTCACTTTTGCCCGCCCTCTCTTTTCTCCTGTTCCTTCGTAGGTTTTGCCCACGCTGTTCGCAAGAACGGAAGAAGAAATAGATAAGGGCCTTGGATTCCAACAGTTTCTTTCACATCCCCTGCCCTGGGCTCGTGGGCAGAGGAATGCCTGTGCTGGGGCCAGGGGTTCAGGGAGAAGTGGATGGCACCACGCTGTCATCCCTTCTTCCCCTACTCTACTCCCGACTCCTGGTGCCCGGGCTGCACCCAAGCCCAGCAGGGGAGGGTGCCACAGCCGCCAACAGATGTGCTCTCGTTTGGCCTCCCCTCCGGGGGAAGTGGTCTTGCCCACTGTCCTTCGCCCCCGTGCTGGCGTCGGTGCTGTATTTCCGAGGGAGGGTCCACTTTGTTCCCCTTGTTTTGTATATAAAGACCGGGGCAGTTGCCCCAGCCCTCTTAATTCCCCTACCCCTTTTCGGGGGCTAGGTGTGACGAACTTGCTTCTCCCTTCTCTTCCTGCTTTCTTCATGGGGGTATGCCGCACATCATCTGGGCTTGGGCCCTACTTTTGGGGCCTCCCCTTTCCTCCGTGCCAAGGGGATTTATCCTCGCCTTGTGAGTGGGAGAAGGCTTACGTGTTAAAGGCATCTGGGTGGGTAAATAAAAGCTGTACATGTTGGCCTGCTGTGTTTATTGTAGAGGCGCTAATCCATGGGGGAGCATTCTTTGTGTATCCCGCGGGTTGGATAAGAGGTGTGGGAGGCTGGCATGCCAGAAGTAGGGCAAGACCCGAGACCAGAAGTTTCTGTACCAGAATCCACAGCTTCTCGGCTGAGGGAGACAAAGCTGGCGGGAGGGAGTGCCTCACACTGGGGTCTCCAAAAACGTTATCAACTGTGCCTCTTTTCTCCATAAAACATCTTTCACTCAGTGGCTAATGAATGATGGGCTTGTGTGGTATATATGTGTACTATTATACTAATTATTAGCTCGATTTCTTATCGCAAAACAGACAAAAAGGCAGGGGTTTTTCTTACCATACCTTGATGGACTGTATTGCTCCCTGGCCTCTGGGGGCCCCCTTCCCTGGGCTTTCTGCCGAGCTCTCCCACCGTGAACCCTGCTCTGGTCTTGCCCATCAGCCCGCTCCTTGCATGAAGGTGTTCTCTCTAGTTCCTCTGTTTCGGACATTGTCTGCTCGCCCCAGAACCCTGTCCGTGCTCACAAGCAGGTCGCAAGACCGCCATCTGGGCACGCTGCTCCCCTGGGCCCGGGTGCCCTCCCCGGTATGCTCGGATGATAGAGAACCCACTTTCTGGGCTTAGAGTGCAAATTAAATAATGGGGGTACGCGTGGAGAACCACGCAAGGCCTACGCTACTGGAGCCGCGAATGCCGCCCGCTGCGCATGGATCAGCTGAGGTCACTCGCGAGGACCTGCACAGCCGCTCCGCGGCGGTTTCCGAGGCCCCGCCCCCAGCCCTCGGCCCTTTATGACGTCCAGGCACGTCTCCTTTGTGCTTCGCCTCTGACCCCGCGCCCGGCGCTCCCTGTGACTGTGGCCCGTTAGAGGACGCTTGGGTCGAGAAGCTCCGGCGAAGCTTCGGGACCATGAGGAAGCTAGCTGCTCGTTTCCTTCCCTCCCTCCTCAAGGGTGAGAGGCGCGCACCTGCTGAACAGACCTCCCGCGGCCCAGTCTTCTGCCCTCCCGAGAGCCCCTCCTCTGCGGTTCCTGGGGCGGTCTCTTTGGGGCCTGCTTTTTTAACACGGGGGTCTAACCTTTGCCTCTGTCTCCCAATCTCACCCAGTTCCACGGGGATCACCTCCAGCTCCTAAGTTACGGGGGGACCCGCTTGCCAGTCTGGCTGTGACCTTGGCCAAAAGCAGGTTGCCGGTTCGGACCGGCCCATCCATCCCTCTATTCCCCTGCCCCTCCACAGTACTGCTGCTGCCTCTGGCACCTGCTCCAGCCCAGGACTCGACCTCAGCCTCCACCCCAGGCAGCCCTCTTTCTCCCACCGAATATGAACGCTTCTTTGCGCTGCTGACCCCAACCTGGAAGGCAGAAACCACCTGCCGTCTCCGAGCAACCCATGGCTGCCGGAATCCCACACTCGTCCAGCTGGACCAGTATGAAAACCACGGCTTGGTGCCTGACGGTGAGGGCCGCACTCGTGGGGAGACAGGTCAAAGCAGACTCCCTGTGCTCTCGTGAGTCGGCGAGTCCGGGGAAGGGTCTGGCTGGCCCCGCACCTGGAAGCCATGTTCTCCACTCTGCAGACACCAAGGGGGTGCTGGACCTCCACCCCCGCCCGCCCTGGGAGGTCCGCGTGCTCACCTTCACCCCTGCCCTTCCTCAGGCGCCGTCTGCTCTGACCTCCCTTACGCCTCCTGGTTTGAGTCGTTCTGCCAGTTCACTCAGTACCGGTGCTCCAACCACGTCTACTATGCCAAGGTGAGGCCAGCACAAGGGCTGGATCAGTGTCCCGGGACCAAGGCAGAGCTGGAGGCAGCGCCACGGCTCCAGGGCTCCAGTAGGGCCACCCTCAGTGCCTCCATGCCAGTCATTCACCCAGAGGAGTCATCAATACAGTCTCACCTTAGGCGTTCAGGAGTCTTAACAATCCTGGTACTATGAGAAAAGGAGGAAAAAGGCAGAGATTAGCCATTCCCTCTCTTCTTAAAGGTCAGGGATGTGATTGAAGTCCAATACAAGAGTGGAGGCCAGGGCAATGCTGTGGCGCAGCAAGTTAAAGCCCTGGCCTGAAGTGCTGGCATCCATATGGGCACCGGTTCTAGTCCCGGCTGCTCCTCTTCCGATCTAGCTCTCTGCTATGGCCTGGGAAAGCAGTAGAGGATGGCCCAATGTAGGGCCTCTGCACCCATGTGGGAGACCCAGAAGAAGCTCCTGGCTCCTGGCTTCAGATCAGTGCAGCTCTGGCCGTTGTGGCCATCTGGGGAATGAACCAGCGGATGGAGGACCTCTCTCTCTGTCTCTACCTTTCTTTGTAACTCTTTCAAATAAATAAATCATTAAAAAATAATTAAAGAAAAAGAGCGGAGTCTAAGGTGGGGTCCAGAGAGAAGCAGGCTTTCTGTTCCAGAGGAACAGCTCCTCAGTTTAGGGGTGTCCAGCCGGGACCATGCGCCTTCCTGTGTACCCAGGAACCGTGAGAGACGGGCATGCTGGAGAAGGCGCTGAGGGATCGGCTGCAGCAGAGGTCTCCCTCGGCCGTGGTGTGCCCACTTTTCCTTCTCTCCTTGCAGAGGGTCCGGTGCTCCCAGCCAGTGTCCATCCTCTCGCCTAGCAGTCTCAAGGAAGTAGAATCTTCAGCTGAGGTCCCACCCACCACCGTGGCCTCCTCCCTTGCATCCCACATCACAGGTGAGAGATCTCCTGGCATCTGGCAGACCGCCCTTTGCTCCTTCCACAATCCCTGGGGCGAGGGTGGTGGGGAAAGGGGCACTCAAGGGACAGCCCTCCTGTGGCAGGACTTCTGCTGCCCTGGCACTCCCGCACTGGACGGCCTCTGGGACTTTCGGAGCTAACAACTTCGCTGTTTGAAGGATGAGTTGCCGGCCACGTAGAATTCCTGGTGTTTCTGCAGGGAGAGGGCCGGGGGTGGCCCTGGGGGCATCAGTTGGGGAAGAACAGCTTCTTCTGGTTCACTCCCCAGATGGCCACAACAGACAGAGCTGAGCCAGGCCAGAGCCAGGAGCCTGGAACTCCGTCCCAGGTCTCCTACATGGGCAGCAGAGGCCCAAGCACTTGAGCCATCTTCTGTTGCTTTTCCAGGTTCATTAGCAGGGAGCTGGGGCCGGCACTGTGGTATAGTAGGCTAAGCCTCCACCTGCAGTGCTGGCATCCTGTATGATCCTGGCTGCTCCTCTTCTAATCCAGATCTCTGCTGTGGCCTGGGAAAGCAGTGGAAGATGGCCCAAGTGCTTGAGCTCCTACAACTGCATGGGAGACCTGGAAGAAGCTCCTGGCTCCTGGCTTCAGACTGGCTCAGCTCCAGCCATTGCAGCCATTTGGAGAGTGAACCAACAGCTGGAAAACCTGTCTTTCCTCTCTGTGTAATTCTGCCTCTCAGATAAAGAAAAAGAAAGCAGGAGCTGGATGGGAAGTGGAGCATCCATGACTCCAGGCTGGATGGGATGCTGGTGTCACAAGGAGTGGCTTAACCTACTGCACTCCAACACTGACACTGGAAATATACCTTTATTTTTATATGCACATTCTCTTCTGGCTTTTTTTTTTTTTTTAATTGAACTGTGTTTGCTTCTGCCTTTCTGTGTTTAGCCCTCTGTGAACTAGGACACAGAACCTGTCTCTAATTTTTAAAAACATGTTAGGCTGGTGCCGCGGCTCACTAGGCTAATCTTCCGCCTGCGGCGCCGGCACCCCGGGTTCTAGTCCCGGTTTGGGCGCCGGATTCTGTCCTGGTTGCTCCTCTTCCAGTCCAGCTCTCTGCTGTGGCCCAGGAGGGCAGTGGAGGATGGCCCAAGTGCTTGGGCCCTGCACCCCATGGGAGACCAGGAGGAAGCACTTGGCTCCTGGCTTTGGATTGGCGCAGCAGTGGCCATAGCGGCCATTTGGGGGTTGAACCAATGGAAGGAAGACTTTCTCTCTGTCTCTCTCACTGTCTAACTCTGCCTGTCAAAAACATAAATAAATAAAAATAAAAATAAGAAAATAAAATAAAAACATGTTATCTATTTAGTTTTATTTAAAGGAGAGATAGAGATTTTCCAATTGCTGGTTCACTCCACAAATGTCTGCAACAACCAGGGCTAAGGCAGGTTGAAGCCAGGAGCCAGGAACTCCACCCGGCTTTCCCACGTGAGTGAACGGGACCCAGGTACATGAGTCGTCACCTACTCTTGGAGTGCACAATAGCAAGAAGCTGAGATCAGGGGTACAGCTGGGGCCCAAACCCAGGGACTCAGCTGTGGGACGTGAGCCTCCACGCAGCGTCTGAACCACCGCGCCACGCACCTGCCCCCTTACTGGCTCTTTTCTCTTCTCTTTCTCGGTGCCTGCCAAACCCTGCTGTAGCCACGGAGCGCCAGGCCTTCCAGCCCTGGCCTGAGCGACTCAGCAACAACGTGGAGGAGCTGCTGCAGTCTTCCTTGTCCCTGGGGGGCCAGGAGCAAGCGCCTGATCACAAGCAGGACCAAGGGCAGGAGCAGCACAAGCAGGGGCAAGGACAAGAACACAAGCAGGAGGAAGCGCAGGAGGAGGAAGAACAGGAGGAACAAGAGGAGGAGGGGAAGCAGGAAGAGGGGCAGGGCACCGAGGAGGGCCTGGGGGCCGCGTCCAGCCTGCAGACAGACCCGGACACGGCTTTGTCCTCCAACCCGCCCTCCCTCCCTCCCCGCGTGCGGGAAGTGGAGTCGACTCCCATGATGATGGAGAACATCCAGCAGCTCATCCGGTCAGCCCAGGAAATGGATGAAATGAATGAAATGTACGATGAAGACAGCTACTGGAGGAGCCAGAACTCCGGGAGGTACAAGAAGTTCTGACTCCTCCTGGGCCCTGCCGGTCCTGCTGCGGCTTGGGGGATGCCAGGTTCCCTTGCCCCAGCCTCAGCCTCCAGACTCGCCCAGAGCTGGGGCGGGGGCGGGGTGGGGGGTGCCTCAAGCACAGCCATTCCTGTTCAGTGCCTAGGGCTGACTTAGTCATGGCCCTGGGTGTTCGTTTCTCTGTGTGCTGTAGTAAAATGAGCGCTGGAACCGCCATGCTTGGGCTCTGGTCTTCTCTCTCGCCCTGGTTAGCACGGAGCCTTGAGAAAGCTATTTCTCCTTTCAGTTCCTCATCTGTCAAAGGAAGCAGTCGGATCTGAGGGCCTCACAGGCCCCACGCTAAGGAAGCGTGCTGAGTGTGTGTGACCAAGACCAGATGGCCAGGGGAGGGGAAGCAGGAGCGGAGGGGGCCTCCTGCCCAGCCCTCCGGCCCCTCCCGCAGCCAGTGCCGTCTTCTTGCAGCCTCCTGCAGCTGCCGCACACGGAGGCGTTGCTGGTGCTGTGCTACTCAATTGTGGAGAACAACTGCATCATAACCCCCACAGCCAAGGTCTGGAAGTACATCGAGGATGAGGTCCTCGGGTTCGGGAAGCCGGTATGCCTGCCACGCTATCTGATGGGTACAGGCCACTGGGTACCCTAGGGGCCTGGCAGGCCTGGCGCAGATCTCTAGGCCAGCCATAAGAGTGGAGGTGAACAGAAGGCGTGAGGCTTGGTTAGAGAGATTCTGCCCAAGTGGAACACCCTTCTTTGAAGGGTCTCTCCAGCCAACCTTAAAGCAGGAAGTTCCAAAACGTAGTCTGGGATCCAGCAGTCCAGTCTGGATTCGTTCTTTAGCTCCCTGAGTTGTTAGGCTTTGAGCCACCTCTTGATCCTGTCTGCACCTCCAGGACCTAACTTGTCTTAGACACGGCTCCCCTTTGCCCAGAGCATTCACAGAAACCATCCCAGGGCATCCGTCAAGGGACCGCAGTCTCATTGTGTCCCTAACACCCAACAAGTCTATTCCAAAGAATGCAGCTTAAAAATGGAATGTGGCGGCTACCGTGGTCAGCATTCCCCGGTTTCTTCAACAAATTGAGTGGGCTCTAGTCTCGAGCAGGTATTTGAGATGCTGGTACTACATACCGTGAGCCCAATCCTTCTGTCGTCCTGGGACCTAGAAGTGGAGAAGACGAAACAGGCAGGACAGTGTGGTAGGATCAGTTCTGCAAAAGAGATGAGCACAAAGTGCAGAGACACACACATTGAGCAGAGCGATTAAGCTGCTGTATCAGAGAGCCTGGTTCACGTCCCAACTCCTCTGCTTCTGACTTCCTGCTGAGAGGCAGCAGCGGATGACAAGTACACGGGAGACCAGATGGAGTTCTGGGCTCCTGGCTTCAGCCAGGCGTGAACAGTGGTTCCAAGCGTTCTCTCTCTCTCTCTCTCTCTCTCTCTCTCTCTGCCTTTCAAATAAATAAATAAACTCTTGACAAAATATCAAAGATAACAGGTGAAGTGGGGGGCAGCTTCCCATGTTTTGAGGGTGGGAGACTGCTTCTTAGAGGAGCTGAGACCTGTAGGTTAAAGAAGTTAACCAGGCAAAAGAAGAGGCCTGGCAGGAGGTTCTTGGCAGAGGACATGGCACGGGCCAACAGGGGCAGAAGTTTTGGGAGGGGCTAGGATGGGGTGAGCACACTATTTATGCCCTTATTAAGGGGCCGCTCAGGTAGAGGGGTCGGGGGTACTCTGGGTACAGTGGTATTGTAGGGGAGTGTGGTAGGTGGCGGCAAGGGTTGTATTTAAAACAGCTGAGAAGTTCAGAGGTCACGGGGAGAGCTTGCTGGGTGCTTGGTCCATTTCACCTGAAGCAGAGCAGCAGGAGATAGTCAGAGACAGTCAAGGATATAATGTGGAAATCCTGAATGGCAGTCTTAAGCATTTGTATTTTTTTAAAGATTTATTTATTTATTTGAAAGGCAGAATTACAGAGAGGCAGAGAGAGAAAGAGAGGTCTTCCATCTGATGGTTCACTCCCCAGATAGCCACAATGGCCAGAGCTGTGCCAATCCGAAGCCAGGAGCCAGGAGCTTCTTCCGGGTCTCCCACATGGGTGCAGGGACCCAAGGACTTGGGCCATCTTCTTCTGCCTTCCCAGGCCATAGCAGACCTGGATTGGAAGTGGAGCAGCTGGGACTTGAACCAGTACCCATATGGGATGCCAGCAGTGCAAACAGAGGCATAACCTATGCCACAGCACTGGCCCCAAATTATTTATTTATTTATTCAGAAAGAGAGAGACGGAGAAAGTGATATTCTATATTGCTGGTTCACTCCCCAAATGACCATGACAAACGGGGCTGCGCCAGGCCAAAACCAGGAACCTGGAACTCCATCCAGATCTCCCACATAGGCAGCAGGGGCCCAAGCACTTGGGCCATCTTCCATTGCTTACCCAGGTGCATTAGCAAGGAGCTGGATTAGAAGTGGAGCAGCCAGGACTCGAACCGGTGCTCTGATAAGGGGTGGCAGCTTAACAAGCTGCCCCCAGGGTTCAATGCTACCTAGGAAGATCCTCCTGACAGACCTCAGGACCCTCAGTATGGGCAGCAAGCACCTGGGCACCTCTTCTCTGTAGGGGATCCCTCTAGAACATGAAGGTTTCAAACCAAGGCACTTGGGGCAACATAGTTTTTGAGTTTGAGGATATGGGTCCATGTCCCACCCCCACGCCCGCCACCATCTATTAGACAGGTGACTTTGAGTGACTTCCTTAGCCTCACTGAGCCTCAGGTAGCAGGGAGTGGGATGTTGTCAGCACCCATTGCTACAGTGTCCTTGTGATGACCAAGAAAGAGATGAGTGTTTGTAGCCAGTGCCAGCACCGGGTCACCTCTTTGTAAATGGTAGCATTACGGTGAGCAGAGACAGAGAAGTGGGGAGGGGCATGAGTTCTTTCCAGATGGGCTAGTTAGGGGGGAAGTGTCGGCCATGGCTGATGCCTGTCAGGCACTTGGCAATGAAGTTTCGCAGCTTCAGAAAGAGATCAGAGCTGGCAATAAAGATTTAGGTGTTACCCATGGATAGGCAAGGTTTACATAGGTGTAGATCATCTGCCAGGAAGTGGGTGAAGAAACAGAGTTGGGAGTGAGAATTTTGTGCAGCAATGAAGATGTCACTAGGGATACCTACAGTTCACATGGGAGTGCTGGACTCAGATCCTGGTGCTGCTTCTGATTCCAGCTTCCTGCTAGTGGGCACCCTGGGAGGTGGTGTTCCAAGTCTCTGGGTTCCTGCCAGCCACATGGGGGACCCAGATTGGGTTGCTGGTTTCCGCTTTGGCCTGGCCCAGTCCTGGCTGTTGATGGCATTTGGGGGGAGTGAACTGGCAGATAGAAAATCTTTGTCTGTTTGCCTCTGTCTCTGTCCTTAACTGTCTCTCTCCCTTTCAAACAAATGAACAATAAATAAAAATGACAAGAAATCATGGAGCGGGGGTGGGGGGGGGAGGTCCTTGAGGAACTCGTGGGAGAGAAGCTGCTGGAAGAGCCGGGATGCAAACACCGGGGGGCTGAGGGCTGGGGAAGGAGCCGGCCTTGACCTCATCAAAGCCTCCCGCCCCAGGTCTGTGACAGCCTTGGCCGGCGCCACACGTCCACCTGTCCGCTCTGCGACTTCTGCTCCCTGAAATTGGAGCAGTGCCACTCAGAGGTCAACCTGCAGCGGCAGCAGTGTGACAACTCCCACAAGACGGCCTTCGTCAGCCCCCTGCTCACAGCACAGAGCGTGTCCGTGGGCACCCAGGTACCCGGCAGGTGGCCTGCAGCGGGGGAGGCAGGACCAGGCAGGGCAGGCCTGCAGGGCACGCCTCTCGCATCTCCTGCACCACAGGTCGGGGCCACGGAAAGAGGCCGCTTTTATGGGCTGGAGCTGTACGGCGGGCTGCGCATGGACTTCTGGTGCGCCCGGCTGGCCACAAAGGGCTGCGAGGACAGTCGAGTCTCTGGTTGGCTCCAGACCGAGTTCCTCAGCTTCCAGGACGGCGATTACCCCACCAAGGTCAGAGCCTTTCCCCCACGCTCAGCCCCATGCCCCTCACCGCCACGTCTCCCAGTTAACTTGCTCTCAGAAGTGGGAGGGGGCTTGGGCCCCTGGCTTGTGAGGAGCAGTCCTCGCCCAGCCTCCTGCTGCTCTCCAAGAGACCACCGCACACACATACACTCCACAGAGCGAAGGAGTGGGAGCCCCGGGTGACGAGAAAACACAGGAGCCATAGGCAGGAGAGGGGCGTGCTGCCCCCAGCCCCACCAGTCACCTGCCAGGTGACTTTGGTCAAGTCACTCGCCTCTCTTGGCCAGTGAAAGGCCAGGTGATGCATGAGGTGGGATCACCTGCAGCTGCAGAGGGCCAGGTCCCCCAAAACCAAGGCAAGGCAAATGGAGGGACTTGCTCAGGAAAGTCGTGGTGGCCGAGCTGAGAGCCCAGACGTGGAAGGAGTGTCAGAGGTCGTCTCAGCGCCCCCCACCCCACCCCGGGCAGCATGCTGTCACCATCACCAGAAGAATCCCTCACCTGGACCCTGAACCAGCCCATTCCTCAGTCCCTTTCCCCGCAAGCTGACCAACAGGGCAGCCTCTTCCTCTCCCAGGCTCCCTGATCCTTCCCAGCAATCTGTGACTGGGGTAGGGGGAGAGGGGACGGAGGCCCCCGCCTCAGGGAGGAGAGAGCTGCCCAGTGTCCAAGGCCTGCTTCTCACGGGCCATACCGCGTCCCTGGCTGTGCCACCGCGGCTTCCCCGCAGGGCTACTGTCTTGTGTGGTTTCTGATATCTCACCCCTCTCGGTCCCTGGCTTGCGCCGCAGGTTTGCGACACAGACTACATCCAGTATCCAAACTACTGCTCCTTCAAAAGCCAGCAGTGCCTGATGAGAAACCGGAACAGGAAGGTGAACCCCGCCCCTGGCCCCTCTTCCTCTCACCGGCCCCAGCCTGCATGCGCACATGTGAACGTGAGCCACTCAGAGCAGCCAGGATGCTCCGCTTGCATTCCTCCCCACACACACACCCAGCGCCTCCCTCCAAGGAGGCAGCCTCAGCCAGGCCCTCCCAGGTGGGAGGGGCTGGGGACAGGGCTGTGGTGGTGGTGTTGGGAGCGAAGGGCGGGCCTTCGAGGGGCCCCACAGGAGGTGTTGAGTCTCCCAGTCTTACTCACCAGGTAGCCCAGGGTAAGTCACTTCCCCTTTGGGCTTCAGCCTCTTGTTTCTGAAAAAAGGAGGTGGGGCTCCTGGGTGACAAGCACCCCACCTCTGCTGCCCTGCGCCCATGCCAGCACTCCCCTCCACCTTGTCCTGCGGGGCTCCTGACCCCACCCGGCAGTGACATGGTGTCCCCTGCCTAGGTGTCCCGCATGAGGTGCCTGCAGAACGAGACCTACAGTGTGCTGACCCTGGGTAAGAGTGAGGACGTGGTGCTTCGCTGGAGCCAGGAGTTCAGCACCTTGACCCTGGGCCAATTTGGATGAGCTGCAGTCTGTGCTGTGGCCCCCCACCCCAGCCTGACCTCTCCACGTTCTCCATCGCTTTGAGACCCCATCTGTCAGCTTGCTTCCAGGCTGCCTGTTAGGGTCTCTTACTTACCTCACTACCTACCCTTACTCACATTTTCCTTGGGTTGGGGCAGCAGTTCCCAGAGAGGCCTGTGAGGGGCGCTCTACACCCCCCCCCCAACCCCCCCCCCCCCGCCCCAAAGAGCTATCTTTCCATAAAGTATTTCTTTTAAGCTGGTGTGGCCTGTTTGGGTTATGATCCCTACCCTCAGCACTGCACCCTTGCCCCATCCCCCTGAGAGCCTCATGGCAATGGGACTCCGGGAAGCACCCGGCTGCCGGGAGGAGAAAGGGAGCTGGCCTCAGGGGTCACGCAGACCAGAGAGTGTGGGCGCCTCGCTGCAGAAGTCCTGCAGCCCAGGACCTCAGAAGTGCGTGGAGGACGCCCCCTCTGCAGCGTAAGCGCCAGAGCCTGACCCAGTCCCTGGGAGGGAGAGTGTAGCTTGCACTTCACCAGGACAGAGCAAGGCAGAGCTGCAGCCCAGCGCTAGGAAACCCTTGCTTTTCACGTGCAGGAATTCGCATGTTGAGATGACAATATCCGGTATTGGCCTTGGGTCACCTGGGCTCTCCTCAAGCATCTTGAGAAACCAGGCTCTCTCCCTGCTCTGTGGCTCACAGGAATTAATAGCATTTAAAACAGTGTTTGCTATGGCAAAGTGGTACCTGAGCTCCCTGTGTCTCCCAGAGCTCTGAGCCCACGGGAAATGGCCATGAGCAAAGAGGAACCATCCAGCCTGGTAGCTGCTGTACTGGAGGAACTGAGTGGCTTCTGCAGAGGTGTCCAGCAGAGCCCGGGCCTGCAGGGGAGTCCTGAGCAGGACTATGGGCTAAACCACCTGCCATACCCAAGGGAGGAAGAAAGCTAGCCCGGAACCGGTGAGAACAGCAAGAGGCTAGTGGGTTAGTCATCTGGCTCTGGCAGCTGGGTGTGCCAGAAAGAGTTCCCGGAAACTGTGGGGAGTGTGTGAATGACTTGGGGCGGAGGGGTTGGGGGAGACTTACGACTCGGCTGGATGAAGTCATTAGCTGCGGGAGTTTCTTCTCTGGCCAGTCCCTGAAGTCCTCTGAGATCGATAATTGCTCTTCACTCCCTCCGTGGCCTGAGTGTGTGAGTGCAAGGAGCTGGGAGGGATGTGCCGTGACCTGAGGAGGTAGGCGTGCCCCTCCTGCCCAGGAGCAGGTCCTACCAGCCCAGCCCAGCCCAGCCCAGCCCAGCCGGAGCAGGCAGGGGAAGGCAGCTCGGGGCAGCGGCAGAGCGACGGGGAGCGCAGGTACGGGGGTGTCACGGATGGGCTGAACCGCAGAGGGGGCACCAGGGGCAGCAGCTCTCCTGGAGAAATGGGGCACTTGGTGGGGATGGAGATGAGGGGCGTCCCTTGGAACTCTGTCTGAATAGAGTAAAAGGCCCAAAGGGGCTTCCGTGAGCAGGCATCTTTCCCCACGCAGGCTGAGGCAGCTGGCAAGCCTAACCCTGGGTGCCCTCCTGAAGCTGGAGGCCCCCCACTCCGGAGCCTCTCCAAGGGTCTTTCTCTCCACCCCCACTGTCATGCTGGACCCTGGGCTTCCCCAGGAGGGCCCACCCCACACATACCCCACGCATCCCCCAGGGCCAGGCCCTCTGCTACTGAACCAGGAGCTGATCTGGTTAAACTCAGCTAATGGGTTCAGTGGCACAGATGGGTTCTCACTGTTCATCTTCCCAGCCATCCAAGGTGGATCCAAACGGGATCTTCTAGAAGCACCGCCTTCACCCCGAGGAGTCTCCTGCAACAGGGACTCGACCGGATGGTCTCTGGTGTCCCCCATGCACTGCTAGGGTGTAGCTCATGGAGGCATGAAGGCGATGAGGATCTTTGAGAAGTCGAACACAGGAATATCTGGGGGCCAGAGGGCTGTGTGTCACACCTGTGAAGGTGGCGGCCTCCCCCAGGCCCTGTCTCCAGGGCTACTTCGAAGTTGAAGCTCTCAGGGCAGATGGAGGCAAAGACTGAGGGGATGGGGAAACTGACTAGTGTGTGTGAGCCTCCCCTCCCGGCCACCCAGACACACCAGAGCCCAGCTGCATGTCTGCTGCCTCGGCCCTCCCCATCCTGTTGCCGGGTACACCCCACCCACACAGAGAACTTTTATAAGTTCAGGGACATTGAAAACAAAATGCAAACCAAAGAGGAGACAGCAGTAAGGAGAGGGCTGAAGCCAGTGGTGCACATGAAGTTCAAAGTGAGGTCACTGTGTCCAGAGGCCTCCAGCAGATCTGTCCCCAAGAGGCCGGCCCTGCCAGGTCCACAGGGAGAGAGTGAGACCGACGCGGGCCACAGGTCACAGGGGAGCCCAGCCTGTCTCAGCGGCTTCTCTGGGTTGGGACTTTGTTTCCTGTTTTTCCAGCTCTTGAAAACAGGGTAGAGGGAAATAGGCAGGTGGCAAGGTGACATCCGATCACACACCTGGGAAAGCTAATTAGCAGGCTGGAGACCAGGTTGGCTTCCTTGGCTTGTCCCAGGAAAATGTGGAGAGGGATGCGGTCAGCGTCCCCCGGGAGGGAGAAGACGTGGCTGTCGGTGATGTTGGAAACGCAGGAAGAGACAGGCTCAGGTGCAGGAGGGGAGGGAGCGGCGGCAGCAGGAATGTTGGCTGGAGGAAAGGCGGCAGGCCCGGGCAGGGAGGAGGGAGGAGGGAGGCAGGCAATAAGACAGGTACCTGGGCCTGGCCGGCCTGCCCTGCCTGGGAAGAAAAGTGGCCCCGGGCCACAGGGAGGCCTCCTCCTGGCCCTCTGACCCGGTGTCACTTGTGCCTCCTCCGCATGGCGCCTGCCCCTCTGAATGGGGAAGCTGATGAGCAGGATTCATTCGGGCTTCCCAAGAGGCTGCAGGAGGAACTATCCCAGAGCCTCTAGGGTGAGCTAAGCTTCTGCTGGAGGCTTGGCATATTTGGATCTGTTTGAGACCCCTGAATATGCAGATATGAGGGGATTTTTATAATTTTAAAAAAGATTTATATATATATATTTTTGACAGGCAGAGTGGACAGTGAGAGAGAGAGAGACAGAGAGAAAGGTCTTCCTTTGCCGTTGGTTTACCCTCCAATGGCCGCTGCGGCTGGCGCGCCGCACTGATCCGATGGCAGGAGCCAGGTACTTATCCTGGTCTCCCATGGGGTGCAGGGTCCAAGTACTTGGGCCATCCTCCACTGCACTCCCGGGCCACAGCAGAGAGCTGGCCTGGAAGAGGGGCAACCGGGACAGAATCCGGCGCCCCGACCGGGACTAGAACCCGGAGTGCCGGCGCCGCAAGGCGAAGGATTAGCCTAGTGAGCCGCGGCACTGGCCAAGATTTATATATTTTAAAGGCAGAGTTACAGAGGGCAAGACGGGGGTGGGGGTGGGAGAGAGAGATCTTCCATCCGCTGGTTCACTCCTCGAATGGCTGTAATGACTGGGGCTGGGCCAGACTGAAGCCAGGAGCCTGGAACTCCGTCTGGGTCTCCCAGGTGGGTGGCAGGAGCCCATGTACTTGTGCCATCTTCTGCTGCCTTCCCAGGTTCATTAGCAAGGAGCTGAATTGGAAGTGAGGCAGCTGGGACTTGAACCAGTGATCTGGTATGGGATGCTGGCATTGCAAGTGGCAGCTTAAACCACTGTGCCACAGAGCCGGCCCTGGGTCCTTTATAACTGAATCTGTGGGGGCCGGCACCATGGCTCACTTAGTTAATCCTCCGCCTGCAGTGCCGGCATCTCATATAGGCACCAGGTTCTAGTCCCGCTTGCTCCTCTTTCAGTCCAGCTCTCTGCTGTGACCCAGGAGGGCAATGGAGGATGGCCCAAGTGCTTGGGCTCCTGCACTTGCATGGGAGACCAGGAGGAAGCACCTGGCTCCTGGCTTCAGATCGGCGTAGCTCCGGCCATGGCAGCCATTTGGGGAGTGAACCAACAGAAGGAAAACCTTTCTGTCTCTCTCTCACTGTGTATAACTCTACCTGTCAAATAAACAAATAAAATTAAAAAAAAAAAAAAAAAAAACAAAAAACAAACCTGAGTCTGTGTGGAAAGGGTGCAGCAGGGGCAACGTTGCCTGAACACAGAGGCAGAGGGAGAGGTCTTAGCTAATTCAGCTAGAGGGTCAGAACTCACACTGAAGGGGCATTTCTTGTGTCTGGGGCGAAACCTTGAGTGACCATGAGCATCTCCAATGAGGTTACAGGGGCTGAGCAGCTAAGCCGCACCCAGGACACCTGCATCCCCTATCAGAGTGCCCGTTCTTGTCCTGGCTCTTCTGATTTCCACCCCGCTTCCCACTACAGTACTACTGTACTGTACTACTGTAGGTACTTCCTACAAGTGCCTAAGTCCTTCCAATCCAGGTGGGAGACCCAGATGGAGTTCTGGCTCCTGGGTTCCACCTGGCCCAGCCCTGGCTGTTGGGAGCAATCTGGAGAGTGAATCAACAGATGGAAGATCTCTGTCTGCCTCTGTCTCTCTGTCTTCCAAAATAAAATAGAAATAGATAAATATAAATGTTCAAAAATCAGTAATAGGGTCCAGTGTTGTGGTGCAATGGGTAAGGCTGCCGCCCAGACGCCAGCATCCCATATGGGCGCTGGTTTGTGTCCTCACTGCTCCATTCCAATCCAGCTCCCCTGTTAATGTGCCTGGGAAAGCAGCAGAGGATGTCCCAAGTCCATTGGCCCCTGCATCCATGTGCGAGACATGGAAGAAGTTCCCGGCTTCAGCCTGGCCCAACCTTGGCCATTGCAGCCATCTGCGGGGTAAACCAGTAGATGGAAGATCTCTCTTTCTGTCTCTCCCTCTCTCTCTCTCTAACTCTTTCATATAAATAAATATTTAAAATAACAATAGTGATAATAAATACGGTGAGGTTAGGGCTTCCCAGAGCTGATCTTCAGGGGTAAGGAGGATGGAGAGATCCCAGAATCCTTCTTTTCAACTTCCTGCCCTCGGGAATTGGGGTCCAAGGAGACAGAAGGATGGGAATGACTAAAAAGCCTTCCCAGGCCGGAGCCGCGGCCCACTAGGCTAATCCTCCGCCTTGCGGCGCCAGCACACTGGGTTCTAGTCCCGGTCCGGGCGTCGGATTCTGTCCCAGTTGCCCCTCTTCCAGGCCAGCTCTCTGCTGTGGCCCGGGAGTGCAGTGGAGGATGGCCCAAGTGCTTGGGCCCTGCACCCCATGGGAGACCAGGATAAGTACCTGGCTCCTGCCATTGGATCAGCGTGGTGTGCCGGCTGCAGCGTGCTGGCCGTGGCGGCCATTGGAGGGTGAACCAATGGCAAAGGAAGACCTTTCTCTCTGTCTCTCGCTCTCACTGTCCACTCTGCCTGTCAAAAAAAAAAAAAAAAAGCCTTCCCTCCCTACATGGGGGGCGTGGGGGCGGGGAAGCGTGGAGAGGAGGTGCACATAGGCGGGACCAGGAGGAAGAATTTTTTCCCCCTTCCTGACCCACCACTGTCCCCGTCCTTTCTCCTTGGCTCCTGTCTGCCCTGTGGCCTCTTGCCAAGGGGGAGGCTACCACGGGCAGGGTGTGTGGATGAGTGAGGGAATGATCATGAGCTCGCCTCCTGCCCACTTTTACTCCCTTGTTCTTACTTCCTGCCTGTGGCAGAAAAAGCCCTGCCCCCCTGGCTTATCTCAGCCAAGAGCAGAGCCCAGCCCAGCTCAGAGGGCAATGGTTCAGGTCCTGGAGACCCGGGAGAGGTAAGCAACCTGGTGCCCGCGGGTGTGCACACGGGCAGCTGGAGGGTGGCTGCAGGCCCCGGGGTGTGGGTCGGGGGCGCTGATGTGGAGTGAGCTGGTGCTGGTGCCTCAGTGTGGACGGTGCTTTGTCGGCCCCTCCGTGCCCTGAGGTTCTGATCTGTTAGTGCACATCTGTCTGGCTCTGTAGGTCTGTGTGTGCAAAAGGAGATCGTCTCCTTCTCTTCCTCCTCCAGCCTGACGCTGCACAGATGTGTGATCTACAGGCTGCGTGCACATCTTGGCGTGCACCACGCTCACGAGCTGTGTGCACAACTCCCAGTGTGCACTCACCTCTGCGTGCCTTTGTGGCGGTGTGCGTGACGTTACTGAGCCTACGAGGGCCCCCATGCCTCCTTCTCCCTGGTGAACTGAAGACCCTAGTGTTCGCTCTCTCCTAAGGCAGCTGCTGTTGCTTTGATTCCTGCTTTAACAGCCTGACCTCTTCCTCAAGGCAGGACTGGGGGCGAGGGTCTGGGCTGCCCCTCCCCCACACCAACTCACCCCCCCCCCCGTTTCCTGTTTGCCTCCTCTTTGGCAGTTTTTCCATCTTTGCCATCTGGCCTGGCACTGGGCCCACTCAGCTCCATGGATGGGAGCCCCAGGGCTCGGGAAGCAGAGGAGCAGGGTGGGGACCAAGGGCAGGGGCCTGGCAGCTCTCAGTGCTTAGCTTGGGCCATTTTGTGCAGTCCTAGCAGAAAGAAGTGGGATTTCTGACAAATCAGCTCCACTCTAAAGCAGCCCAAGGACTTCTCCCCTTGGGGACAGAGTAAGAGCATTGCCACGTCCATTGCTAAAGGATTCCCGGCTTTACCTTTTGGCAGCAGCTCACTTAGTCCCGCTTGGTTTGTTTCACACTGCAATTTGTATATTAGAAAAAAAATTTTTTTCTTTTTTTCTTTATTTGAAAAGCAGAGAGACAGACACAGAGACATCTCCCATTGGCTGGTTCACTTCCTAAATGCTTGCAACAGCTGAGCCCAGGCTAGGCTGAGGCCAGGAGCCAGGAACTCCAACCAGGTCTACCATGACCTGCTGTCTCCCAGGCGTGCATTTGCAGGGAGCTGGGATTGGAAGCTGAGTTTGGTCTCAATCCCAGGCACTCCAGTGTGGGATGTGGCATCCCAAGCAGAGTCTTAACCACTGCACTGAACACCTGCCTCCTGTGATATTTTCCAAATGAGTTAGCTGTCTCCTTACCTATCTGAAAGGCAGAGTGACAAAGGGAAAAAGAGAGAGAGAGAGAGAGATCTTCATCTGCTGGTTCACTCCCCAAATGCCCCCAACAGCCATGACTGGGCTAGCCCGAAGTCAGGCACCAGGAACTCCACGTGGGTCTCCCACATGGGTGTCAGGGACTTGGGCCATACTGCCATTGTCTGCTACTTCCCTGGTGCATTACCGGGAAGCTGGATCAGAAGGAGGCTGGACTCAATCCCAGGCACTCTGATGTAGGATGCGGGCGTCCCAAGTGGCGCTTCACCTGCTGTGGCCACACCTCCCCCTTGTAATCACCTTTTTAACAGGCAGACTTCTTTTCCAAGAATCCCTCTGTCCACTCATTCACTCTGCGCATCCTAAGTGTAAGCAGCCGCTGCTCCTACGAGTAATAGTTAAGAACGCTGGACTGTCAGTGTGATGACTGTAAATTGTTACTGAAATCTTCGTGCAAGCTGTTTTTAGACAGCTCTTTCAAGGTACAAGGTCTTTGACTAGTCAGGAATGTGCTAAGAATGGGTTATGTGACTGCAGGGACACAGTAGCTGTTGTAACAGGATTGCAAGGTGGGCTAACGCACCTGTGTGTGTTGGGGTGGGGGCACAGGTTTCCCACCAGGCACCCAGTTGAGTATCATTTGGGACCTGCTAGTGCAGACTGAAGTGTGAGGGCCTGCGGGATGCAGTCCCCACTCCAAAACCTCCCCATCCAGTAGGGGAGGTGGAGCAAATACACACGAAACAACTGAAGGGTTCAAACTGAGTGCTTAAGAACTCAAGGGGAGGCCAGCGCCGCGGCTCACTTGGCTAATCCTCCGCCTGCGGTGCCGGCACCCCAGGTTCTAGCCCCGGTTGAGGCGCCGGATTCTGTCCCGGTTGTTCCTCTTCCAGTCCAGCTCTTTGCTGTGGCCCGGGAGTGCAGTGGAGGATGGCCCAAGTGCCTGGGGTACTGGAGACCAGGAGGAAGAACCTGGCTCCTGGCTTCGGATCAGTGCAACATGCCGGCCGTAGCGGCCATTTGTGGGGTGAACCAACAGAAGGAAGACTTCTCTCTCTCTCTCTCTCTCTCTCTCTCACTGTCTAACTCTGCCTGTCCAAATAAATAAATAACTCAAGGGGAAGTCATAACGGGGTATACTTGTGTGCATGGAAAAGATGGATAAGTTAGTGTTACTGATCTGCAAGCAATGCTGGCATCCCATATGGGCGCCGGTTCAAGTCCTGGCGGCTCCACTTCCGATCCAGCTCTCTGCTGTGGCCTGGGAAAGCAGTAGAAGATGGCCTAAGTCCACATGGGAGACCCGAAGGAAGCTTCTGCCTCCTGGCTTTGGATCAGTGCAGCTCCAGGCTGTTGTGGCCATCTGGGGAGTAAACCAGCAATGGAAGACTCTCTCTCTCTCTCTCTCTCTCTCTCTCTCTCTCTCTTTCTCTCTGCATTTCTGTAACTCTGCCTTTCAAGTAAATAAATAAATCTTTAAAAGTCTGTGTTTTGCATGGGCGTCTGGCCTAAGTGATTAAGATGCCCACATCCCACATCAGAGTTCGTGGGTTTATTACCGATGACTCTGGCTCCTGACTCCAACTTTCTGCTAATGCAGACCCTGGGAGGCTGTAGTGATGGTTCAGGTAGTAGAGTTCCTGCCACTGTGTGGGAGACCTAGACACCATGCTTAGATTTTGGCTTCGGCCTGGCCCAGTCCAGGCTGCTGTTTGCGTTTGAGAGTCAACCATCAGATGGCAACTCTGTCCCTCTCTCTCTGCCTTTCAAACAAACAACAAAACTCAGCACTCCCTTGTGATAAAATCAACTTTCAGCAAGCAGGAACTTCTTGAACCTGTAAAAGGGTATATACAAAATAAGAAAAAAAAGTATCTGTTTCAGTTGCACAAAAGAGGAAGTAGGGGTTGGCATTGTGGCACAGTAAGCTAAGTGCAACGAGGTGGGGTGCACCCCCCATCACAGTGCCGGGAAGGATCCTGGCTGCTCCACTTCCCATCCAGCTCCCTGCTAATGCGCCTGGGAAAGTAGCAGAAGATGGCCCAAGTGCTTGGGCCCCTGCCACTCATATGGGAGACCTGGATGGAGTTTTAGGATCCTGGTTTTGGCCTGGGCCAGACCTGGGAGTTGTGGCCATTTGTAGGGGTTAGCGGCGGTGTGTGTGTGGTCTCTCTCTGTCCCCTTTCTCTTTCACTCTCCCCTTCAATAAGTAAATCTTAAAGAAAACAAAAAGGAAGTAAAATAACTGCAGGCACAGATTTCTTATAGGCAACTGTAAAAGAGCAGGTGCTCTGTCCAGCTCAGTCCACACAGTTCACCACCCACTCTTGTGGCAAACAGCAGGGTACGGCTCGAACTTTGGAGCCTGGCGGTCCGGGGTTTGGCTCTGGACTTCACTGCTCCTTGGCGAGCTCTTTAGCTTGTTTCCTTTCCTCTAAAAACGAGGACAAACACCCACCTGTGTGAAGATTAGAGACAAAGTCTATAAAGCACCCTGGGACACAGGGACTGGGCAGTGACAGCTGTGTATTCCTTCTCACTCAGCGTGTATTGAGGTAGGTGCTGGGGGAATGCAAATGCCACAGTCCACGGCCCCGCCCTCCAGGAGCCCACAGACTACTGGGAAAGGTGGCCTGAGAGCAGCTAATCACCGCACACACGAAGGAACAGCTTGGAGGAAGCTGCACACTGCCCGAGGGGCTGGGGAGGGGGTCAGGAGAGGCTGCAGAGAAATGACTGGGGAGGAAAGGCATGCAGAGGAGTGGAAGAGCGAGCGTGAAGGCAGAATCCTGAAAACCTAAGGTATGTGCAAACTCAGGACGAGTTTGCTGTGACTGGGGCCAGGGAGCCTGCTTTTATTTGCTTTTCAGCATGATTTTTAAGTCCCATTGCGGGGGACCTTCATGTCTCAGTGTCCGTGGGATACGGATTCCAAGGGCCCTCCGCAGACAGCACGCACGCTGAAGTCTTTTGTATAAGGAGGCCTGGTGCTTGCATATAACTCACCCACATCCTGCTGTATAGTTTAAGCCATCTTTTTATTACTTGGGATACCTAATACAAAGTAAATGCTGTTAGATTGTATTGTTTAGGGAATAAGGATGGGTAGACAGTCTGTCCATGTTCAGCCCAGGCACAGTTTTTTGCCAAATGTCTGTGATCCCCAGTTGGGTGAATCTGTGAATGGGGAACTTGTGGATTCAGAGGGCCAACTGTATTTTGTTGCTGACGCTGGTGTTTCGCGGAGGAGATGTTTCTTCCCTTTAATTGTCCTATTGTACCTCTTGCAAATTTCAAACTGCTGGTTGTGGTGGTTGGAGGAACAAACCAAAAACCCACAAGAAAACTGTTGCCAGCCAGGTTTACATGCAAGGATTCCAAGAGTGCCTTTAGAAAGGAACAGCATGTGTCTTGGGTAATGGCTCAGGGCTTCTGACAGCTTCTCTCCCTGATGCCTCTAGCCACAATCATCAAGCAGCATGACTCTATTAGCCAAAACGTGGAAACAGCCCTATGTCCCCTGACAGATGAATGGAGAGGCAAAATGTGGTTTATACATGAATGGAATATTGTCTTTTTTATTAATTAATCATTTAAATTTTTATTTTTAAAATATTTTTATTTCCTTGGAATATAGAGTGACAGACAGAAAGGAAGAGACAGAGACAGAAAAGAGAGCTTCCACCTGCTGGTTCACTACCCAAATGGTCATCATGGCAGGGGCTGGGCCAAGCAGAAGCCAGGAGCCTGCTGCTCCACCTAAGTCTCCCATGTGGGCACAGGGGCCAAGTACTCCGGCCGTCTTCCACTATTTTCCTGGGCACATTAGCAGGGAGCTGGATCAGAACTGGAGCAGTCGAACTCAAACTGGAGCTCTGATATGGGATGCTGGGCCATAGTGGCAGCTTAACCTGCTGTGCCACAATGCCAGCCCCAATTAATTTGTTTAACTTGAAAGGCAGACAGACAGACAGAGATCTCCCACCCACTGGCTGACTCCCCAGATGCTTTCAACAGCATTTGGGTGGCTGGGAACCAATCAGTTGAGCTGTCACCTCCTACCTCCCAGGGTGCGCAATAGCAGGAAGCCGAAATTGGAATGGAGCTCAGACTCAAGCCCCAACACTCTGATGTGGGAAGTGGGCATCCCAAGCAGTGTCTCCAGCATTGCACCAAATGCCTGCCCCTGAACACATTTTGCAGCTATGAAAAGAATAAAATTCTGTCACATGCCGCAAACATGGATGGGCCCTAGAAGCACTATACTAAGCACAATAAGGACCACACAAAAGGACAAACACTGTACACTTCCCATGAGGCATCTGGACTAGGCAAACTCAGAGACAGAAAGTACTTGGGCTGGGCTGACAGGGTGGGGTGGGGTGTGCAGTGTTTCTTTAAGGGTATACAGTTGTTTGGGATAATGAAAAAGTTCTATTTTTGGAAACTGTTATCGTGGTGATTATGCAACAGTATGAATGTATTTAATGACACCAAATTACTACACTTAAGAATGGTAACTGGAGGGCAGGCATTGTCATGCAGCAGGTAAAGCTGTCCCTTGCTACCCTAGCATCCCATACTGGAGTGCAGGTTCGAGTCCCGGCTGCTCTGCTCCTGATAACAGCTCCCTGCTAATGTGCCTGGGAGGAGAGTGGAAGAGGGTCCAAGTGCTTGGGTGCCTGCCACCCATGTGGGAGACCTGGATGGAGTTCCCGGCTCCTGGCTTTGGCCTAGCCCAGCCCTGGCTGTGCAGCCATTTGGGAAATGAATCAGAGGATGGATGATTTTTCTGTCTCTTTCACTCTCTGCCTTTCAAATATATTCTTATAAAATCTTTTTAAAAATGGTATTTTCGTTGTGTGTACTGTGCCCCACATACAAACAACAGATAACATCACGGGCTGCACTGGAGGGGTAGCTTCTGTGGCCTTGCTGGGCTGAGGAAGGTGTCTTCTTCAAACCACGTCCTGTCCTCTGTCTCCTGTACTGCTTAGTCATATCCTTTGTCTGCCAACTTAAAAAATATTTATTTACTTGAGAGGTAGACAGACACACTTACAGAACTCCCATCAGCTAGTTCACCCCCGACCCCCCAAATGCTTGCAACAGCTGGGAAGGCAAATCTAGGAGCCAGGAGCTCAATATAGATCTCTCTCTCTCTCTCTTTCTCCTTAAAAAGTTTTGATTCATTTGACAGAGAAAGAGAGAGGGAGGGAGAGAGAGAGAGAGAGAGAGAGAGAGAGAGAGAGAAATCTCCCTTCTGCTGGTTCAGTCCCCAGATGCCTGTAGCAACTGGGGCTGAGTCAGGCCAAAGCCAGCCAGGAGCTGGGAACTCAACCCAGGTCTCCTATGGGTGGTAGGGGCTCAAGTACTTAAGCTATCACCTGCTGCCTCTCAGAATCCACATTAGCAGGAAGCTGGAATCAGGAGCCAGAGGCAGGAATTGAACCAGGCACTGCAAGGTGGGACACAAGCATTGTTACTAGTGGCTTAAGCGCTAGGCTAACCACTCACCCATCTGCCAACTTTTGCATGAGGACTGTGGCTACCATGCTCTCTCACTGGGAACCTCATCAATACCTTTGTGGTCCTACTTCCTCACCTCCCTCCACCCTCTCTGGGTCTAGGTTCCCCATTGAAAATTTATTTGGGGCCGGCGCCGCAGCTCACTAGGCTAATCCTCCACCTAGCAGCGCCGGCACCCCGGGTTCTAGTCCCAGTCAGGGCACCGGATTCTTTCCCGGTTGCCCCTCTTCCAGGCCAGCTCTCTGCTGTGGCCCGGGAGTGCAGTGGACGATGGCCCAAGTGCTTGGGCCCTGCACCCCATGGGAGACCAGGAGAAGCACCTGGCTCCTAGCTTCGGATCAGCACGGTGCACCAGCTGCAGCGCACTGGCAGCGGCAGCCATTGGAGGGTGAACCAACGGCAAAAGGAAGACCTTTCTCTCTGTCTCTCTCACTGTCCACTCTGCCTGTCCAAAAAAAAAAAAAAAAAAAAAAAAGAAGAAGAAGAAGAAGAAGAAAATTTATTTGGAAGTCAGAGAGGAGAGGCAGAAAGAGAGAGAGGTCTTCCATCCACTGGTTCACTCTCCAATTAGCTGCAACGACCAGAGCTGTGACAATCCTTAGCCAGGAGCCAGGAGCTTCTTCCGGGTCTCCCACATAAGGTGCAGGGGCCCAAGGACTTGGGCCATCTTCTGCTGCTTTCCCAGGCCATAGCAGAGAGCTGGATCGGAAGTGGAGAAGCCAGGACTTGAACCAGCGCCCATATGGGATGCCAGCACTGCAGGCAGCAGCTTTACCCGCTACGCCACAGCACCAGCCCCTTAGGGTCCCCTTTAAACCCTCATTACCAAGCCATCATCTCCCCTCCACACAGAACCCTTCTCTGGGAAACTTTCTAGTTACAACCTCTAGGGAAGCACCTGGAAAAGGTCAACCCACAGGGCTTCCCCCGCCTGGCAAGACTGCACGGTCAAGGTCACTCTGATGTGGCCTGCCCGAGGCTGGGGTGCAGTCAGCCCAGACAAGCACTCTTACATATTCCTATTTTATAGATGAAGAAGTGGGGTTAGATCAAACAATCAAGCTGGCCCAGGCTGCTGTGACCACAAACCCAGGACACCCAGGAGCAAGGGTGGATGTGATGAGTGAGGCTGGGCTTGTGTACTGTACTCAGGAGTTTGAACTTTATTCTTTAGATAACGGGGAGCCAGCCGAGCACCAGGTCCAGGGGAGTGCTCCATGGTACTTCTTCTCCTTTTCTTAAGATTTATTTATTTGAAAGGCAGAGCAACAGAAAGCGGGAGGGAGGGAGGGAGGGAGAGAGAGAGAGTGAGAGAGAGAGAGAGGTCTTCCATCTCCTGGTTCACACCCCCAGGTGCCTGCCATGGCTAAGGCCGGGCAAAGCTGAAGCCAGGGGTGCGGAACTCCATCTGGGTCTCCCACGTGGATGACAGGAACCTGTACTTGTGTCATCATCATCTGCCTCCCAGGTGCATTATCAGGAAATTGGATCAGAAACAGAGTAGCTGGGACTCAAACCAGGCACTGTGATATAGGATCCCACTGGGATACGGGCATCCCAAGCAGTGGCTCAACCCCGTTGCATCTCAACCTCTGCCCCAGGAGAGCCAACATACATTTATTTATTTATTTTTAAGATCTAGTTGAAAAGCAGAATGACAGAAAGAGAAGGGGAGAGAGAAAGACTCTGACCCTCTGTTGGCTGGTTTATTCCCCAAATGGCTGCAACAGCCACATCTGGGTCAAGCAGAAGCTAGAAGCCAGGAACTCCACCCCGGTCTCTCACACGGGTGGCAGAGGTCCAACTACTTGGGCCATCTTCCACTGCCTTTCCAGGTGCATCAGCAAGAGACTGGATTTGAAGTGGAGCAGCCAGGAATGGAACTGGCACTCTGATATGCGATACGAGCACTGCAAGTGGTTGGCTTAACCTGCTTAACCACAACAACAGTCCCACAGCCAACATTTAACCCCAGGCAGGACCACTACTGTGGCATAGCTGGTAAAGCCACCGTCTGTGGTGCCCGCATCCCATATGGGCGCTGGTTTGAGTCCCGGCTGCTCCTCTTCTGACCCAGCTCCCTGCTAATGTGCCTAGGAAAGCAGTGGAGGATGGACCAAGTGCTTGGGCCCCTGCACCTATGTGGAGACCCGGAAGAAGCTCCTCACTTCTGGCTTCGGATCAACCCAGCTCTGGCCATTGCAGCCATTTGGGGAGTGAACCAGCAGATGGAAGACCCCCGACACCTGCCTCTCCCTCTCTCTCTGTAACTCTTTTACAAATAAATAAGTAGGGGCTGGCACTGTGGCACAGTGGGTTAAAGCTCTGGCCTGAAGCACCGGAATCCCATATGGGTGCTGGTTCAAGTCCCGGCTGCTCCACCTCCTATCCAGCTCTCTGCTATGGCCTGGGAAAGCAGTAGAAGATGGCCCAAGTCCTTGGGCCTCTGCACCCGCGTGGGAGACTCAGGGGAGGCTCCTGGCTTTGGATCAGCACAGCTCCGGCTGTTGCAGCCAATTGGGGAGTGAACCATCAGATGAAAGGCCTCTCTCTCTCTCTGTCTGCCTCTCCTCTCTCTGTGTAATTCTGACTTTCAAATAAATAAAAATAAATAAATCTTAAAAAAAAAACAAATAAATAAATAAATCTTTAAAGCCAGGCAGGGGCAGGCGGTTACCCTAGCACATAACATGCCCATGTTCTACTCTGGACTCCGGGGTTTGGTTCCTGGCTCCGGCTCCTGACTCCAGTTTCCCACTAATGCAGACCCTGGGAGGCACCACTAATGACTTGAGTCCCTGCCACCCACATGGGAGACCCGGGTTGAATCTCGGCTCCTGGCATTTGCTAAGAGGCTCTCTCTGCCTCTCACAATATTTTAAAAAACAAAAGAGACAACCTCAGGCAGCCTCTAGAATCGGTGTATGTAACCTTGTGCTATTTAGTTGTGCTGTGGGGAAGTTATTTTGGCCAGATGGTTAGGCGATGAAAAACTTGAGCCTAAGAAAAAGATTCAGGTCGTCAGGCAAGTCAGTGAGACAAATGTGTGTCATGTCTGTGGCCCTGTCCCCGCCTAACTCTGACTCCTGGTTTGCTTTCCTCCTCCAGGTCTTCACTGCTGATGATGCTGTGACCAAGGCGTCCCAGCCGGGGCAGTCGCCGGCCCCTGCTGCCACGGTCCACCTCTCCATGCCCTGCCCCTGCCGCCTTTGGGACCCTCTCGCTGCAGCCTGCAGACCCTCCTGCTGGAGGTGAATGTGATGCTGGGCCCTTGGTGCACCCCATGACGCCCCCAGCCTAGCTCCCCTTCCCACCTGGGCAGGATGTTGGCCAACTCCTCCGCCAACACTTCTGCCAACAGCTCGGCACCGTGCCCTGACTACCGGCCCACTCACCGCCTGCACCTGGTGGTCTACAGCCTGGTCCTGGCAGCCGGGTTCCCCCTCAACGCCCTGGCCCTCTGGGTCTTCCTGCGCGCGCTGCGCGTGCACTCGGTGGTGAGCATATACATGTGCAACCTGGCCGCCAGCGACCTGCTCTTCACCCTCTCGCTGCCCGTGCGCCTCTCCTACTACGCGCTGCACTACTGGCCCTTCCCCGATCTGCTGTGCCAGACGGCGGGCGCTATCTTCCAGATGAACATGTACGGCAGCTGCATCTTCCTAATGCTCATCAACGTGGACCGCTACGTCGCCATCGTGCACCCGCTGCGGCTGCGCCACCTGCGGCGGCCCCGCGTGGCGCGCCTGCTGTGCTTGTGCGTGTGGGTGCTCATCCTGGTGTTCGCCGTGCCCGCCGCCCGCGTGCACAGGCCTTCGCGCTGCACCTACCAGGGCCACGAGGTGCGCCTGTGCTTCGAGAGCTTCAGCGACGAGCTGTGGAAAGGCAGGCTGCTGCCGCTCGTGCTGCTGGCCGAGGCGCTGGGCTTCGGGCTGCCGCTCGTCGCCGTGGCGTGCTCGTCGGGCCGGGTCTTTTGCACGCTGGCGCGGCCCGACTCCACGCACAGCCAGCGGCGACGGAAGACCGTGCGCCTCCTGCTGGCCAACCTCGTCATCTTCCTGCTGTGCTTCGTGCCCTACAACACCACGCTGGCCGTCTACGGGCTGTTGCGGAGCCACCTGGTGGTGGCCAGCCAGGCGGCCCGCGATCAGGTGCGCGGGGTGCTCATGGTGATGGTGCTGCTGGCCGGCGCCAACTGCGTGCTGGACCCGCTGGTGTACTACTTCAGCGCCGAGGGTTTTCGCAACACCCTGCGCGGCCTGCGCACTCAGCGCGGTGCCAGGACCTTGGCCACCAACGGGGATCGAGGGGCGCTCGCTGAACGGCCTTCAGAGATCCACATCACCAGGCTGGATACCACCAGTCAGGGGCTTCTCCAGCCGTCCGGCCCCGGGGCGCCCCTCACCCAGTGTCCCCAGGATTCAGCCCTCTGAAAGGACAATGCATCTTAATGCACGCCGCCCGGCCCCCAGAGCCCTGGGTGCAGGCTGGCAGTCTGTGCACGTGGACCTGGCACTTGGACTTCCGGGTCCCAACGTCAGCTCTGGAATGCAGAAACACGTTGGTGTGGAAGCTCAAGGGTCCCAGGAAAGGAAGAGTGCTGCTGGGGATGGCTTCTTTCAGCAGGGGTACAGCTGAGGACCCCTTCTCCCATTGGAGGGAAACATAACCTTGAGCCAGGCACTGGCTAAGAGCTGGCAGGCAGGACAGAAAATGGGGACCTCAGAGTTGGATGGCTGGAGGGTCTGAGAGCTGAAGGGCCTCCGGGCTTTGGCACCAAGCTCCCGAGAGGTTCTTTCCTTTGCTCCGGGCCAACCCGAGGGCCAGCGTGGCCACCTGCTCTCCTTTCCACCTAGGCTTCCTGTGCTCAGCGTTGAGCAACACACCAGGGTTTGTTTATTCGACGTGGACAGGATCGTGTTCCCTCTTTCTTAGGGACTTGTAACAATTTAGGCCTGACACCCTACACGGGGACTTGGGCCAGAGCTTCCCCCCAAATCCTAGTGCCTGCTCCCTCTTCTAGGTCGTCCATTCTGGCACCACCACCCTTTCAGGGCGTCTCAACTCTGGGTTCTTAATTTTCTCTCTCTTCTTCTCCACCTGCTTTGTCCAGAGTAAGGAGAATTTTTTTTTTGTACTAAAGCATCAGAACTCAAAATTTTTAGTCTCAGACCCTTTTCACCGTCTTAAAACTGAGAATCCCAGATAGCTTTCGCTTATTCTTTGTTCTTTGAGTACTTAGCCATATTAGATGTGAAACAGGTACTTAGAACACAGAAATACACAAACGCACGTTCCAATAACTGTGAGAGCGACAGTGCCATCGCACCTCGTGAGGCCTCTGGAGGCTCCACTTGTGAGGAGTGAGGATGAAGGGACACGGGATCTGGTGACCTCAGGGGCTTCATCAAGGAGTTGGTCTCTGGATTATGCTTTGAGAACCGCTTGCCTTAGTGTTCGAGTTCATGTCCAACTTCTCCCAGGCCATTGCAGACATTTGCAGTCTTCATTTGTGCGGGCAGAGGGCAGTGCTCAGCAAAGTGAGTGCTAATCAGAGGCCCTAAGGCCTGGGGTTTCCTGAGAGCTGCTGGGGCTGGCACCCCCAGTGGAACACTACCTATGAGCCCTGGGACAGGGTGAAGCTAGGAGGGGAGGGAGGGGGCCTCTCTGCCACAGCCAGGAGACAGCTCACAGGGAAGTAAGGGGGAGACACGACGGGAGCACAGGAACCGCTGGGCTGTTCTTGGCGAGCTGGAGGCGAGGGAACCGGGCCATCTACTGTTTCCTTTTCTCCTCACCCAAGTGGGGCGCTGGGAGGGGCTGTAGAGCTGCTGCTTCAACACCTTCAGATTCTGACGGTGGCGAGGGCACTTGTTGCTGCACACCGGTCCTGTATGCATTTCTGTTCCTGTCTCTCAATGCTGTGTGCTTTTCCTCTCTGTGTGTTTTAGTTCAGAATAAGCCTTTTGTGTGTGTGTGTGTGTGTGTGTGTGTGTGCACGCGCACGCGCGCGCCTGTGTGTTTCTGGGAGTGCCACAGTTGGAGATTTACTGGGGTAAAATGACCCCTGGTGGCCAAACCCAGGAACTGACCCAGATTCCTCAGACGGTAACCTCCCAGCTGGGTCCTTTCTCACCTGGGTGGAAGTTAGACGCCTGAGCCAGGCCCTTAACTCGCCCTGCACTAGAAAGAGGCCTGATGAGTCGCACCTGCTCCATCCTGCTTCATCCTCAGGGGTCAAGACTAGTGCTCTTTCTACCCTGAGAACACCAATAGTTTCAGATCTCATTGTGGTCCCAACTCTCAGCACTTTGCCCTATCCAAACTGAACTGAACACAATTTTCCACAATTACTCGAGTACTCTTATGTGCAGGTTACACGAGTGAATTCCAAAGTAACTCAAACTCACCACACGTGTCACCTTCTAACATACCACGTAATGTACTTATTTATTTATTTCCCCTTTCACAGCTTCTCGCCTGTCTCCTCCCACCCATCTCCCTAGGTAGAATGTGAGCTCCGTGGGGGCAGAATGTTTGTGTTTCGGTTTTCTGATGAGATCCCCTCCCAGACCCCTGCCCCCTAACACCTAGAACAGTGCCTGGCACAGAGGAAGTGCTCAATAAATATTTGTTGCATGAATGGACAGTCATCTCTTGCTGTGAAGTAGTGTGCAATCTAGCAGGGACCACAGAAAAGACAGTGATAACAGTTATGCAAGACAGAAGATGCTGAAGCGCAGGGGAAGGCGCTGGCCCTTAATTTAGAGGACAATGGGCAGCCCCCGAAGGTTCTGGGTAGGCTTTTGCTCACACGGACGCTGCGTGTAGGGAAGCGAGGTGGGCCGGCTTTAAGGAGAAGGGCTGTTCTTGGAGCTCCTGCACCAGCTGGGAGAAGTGTGCCATGGTGGATGGGAGACGCTGATGGGAGTGGCTGCGTCCAGTGTGACATCTCTGGCGTTAAAGCGCTGCTGGGTTGTTACCCACATTCATTTGCAAAGGGTTCCCCCGTGAGAACAGAGAGGCGAGAAGAGGTTGTAGGCAGAGGAGGACTGAACAGAACCCTACAGGGAACAGGCTGGGGAGGGTTAAGATCTGTCGCAGTCATCACTTTCCCAGGGTTCCCCACAATTCCTGAGTGAGCTGTATGAGGGAGGCAAGATGCAGAAAATCCAGGTCCTGGAGCTGCCTCCTGTGAGCTGCGGGAAAACCCAAAGGAGGGGAAGAAGAAACATTTGAGAGGCAGGGCCAGAGTCAGAGGGTTAACGTTAACAGGATTTTAAAATATGCTCCTGTATGGCAAGACTTCAACGTAATGCGTACGGTGCAAGATCTTATTTAATTACTACACAAACCCTCTGAGTTGGGGACACTGTTCCACCTTGGAGAATCTGAGGTCTTAAGGTCCCCCAGGAGGAAGTGGCTCCCACACTCCCACTCTTTGCCGCCCGTCCTACTCTACCTGCTTTTCCTGGTATTTCTCCCTTCCTCATTCCTGGCTCCATTCTGTACCACTGCTGGTTTCTTCTTTGCCCCTCAGGCAAGGCCACCTCTCCCGACTGCCCGTGTCCCTGTGCTGTATCACCTCTGCCTCCTCTTCCCATGTTCCTAATCCATTTCCCTGCCCTGCCCTTCCCGGGGACACAGGCAGGCTGCACCCCATAGAGGGCTCAGGGAGAAGTAGCCTGTGGGTGGCACACAGGCAGGGGGGCTCAGGCTTCCTTCCAGCACCCCCCCCCCGGAGCTCCCAGGCAGTCCTCCCACTGCCCATCAGCTAAAATGGGGGAGCAGGCTGTCTCCTGGTTCTTTAGTTCCTGGACATCTGTCTCCTTACAGGATACATCATGCCTCGTGTTGGAAGAGGAACAATCATCGGTTTGGGAAATAGGAACCGGCTCAGAGAACGAGGGCAGAGGCGAGGGGTCCTGAAGCAGGGCGGAGATGCTTCCTTCTCGGTCCTGGCCATCCTGAGGGAAATCCCTGCCACTTGGGTGCCTGGGAAGAAATGGGGCAGATCTCTCACGGAGCCTTGCTCCTCCATTCTTTCAGGGGGAGCCCTGGGGGCCAAGAGCGATGGGTGTATTCTCCCCGCGCTCTCCTCTCCAGAGGAACTCTGAGTGGACGGGAGCGAAGGTGGAGTTTGTCACAGGAAGTCTGGGAGCTCTCAAGGCTGGGAGGACTGGAGTCAGACCATCTTGAGTACTAATTTCAGCTGTCACTTCTTGGCAGGGCCATTTCAGCCACTACTGAAACTCCCGGGAGCCTCTTTCTTCGCCTCTGTGAAATGGGGCTTCTAATCCCCACGTCCTGGGTCAACGAGATCACCTCTGAAAGTCTCTTTAGGGGCCCAAAGACGTGTGGTCTTTGTCCAAGGAGGGTATGGGAGGAGATGCCATGGGCAGAGTCTGCTTGTGATGCCCAAGGCAAGCTGGAAGGCTGCAGGACTCCAGGTGACGCCTCACCCGGGGCTGGGCTGCCGCCACCACCACTCGCAACCAGGGCCGGGGGCTGGGGCCCGAGCCAGGCTGGGCACGGCGCCAGGGCGCCAGGTCAAGCGGTCTCCAGGGGCCGCCCGCCCCACCAGCCTGAGGTCCACCCCACGGGCCTAAGGGCTAGGTGGAGAAGCGCAGTTGGAAGAAGAGGGGGTTCGCGGAAGAACCCAGTCGTGAGGAGAAGGGCAAGGGAGGCGGCTGGAGGGGAAGCAAGGGCCCAGGCAGGCACGGGGTGGGGCCGGGCGAGGGGCCCGGGGCAGCGGGGCGGGAGAGCGCCCGCGAGGGAGCGCGCCGGCTGGGGGAGGAGGGACGGGGAGGGAGACCGGCGGCGCTGACACAGCCTCGATGTGTGGAACGGGCTGGGGTTTGGCCCACAGGTCAGGCGTCTGGCAGTATTATGGGATGGAGAGGCCTTAGGAGACAGGGAGAGTATTATGGGCTGGAACAGCCTTAGGAGACTGGGAAATATTATGGGCTGGTGAGGCCCGGCTCCAACTGGAGGCGGGAGGAAGGGGTGCGGGGCGGGAAGGGGGGGTGGTGGTGGAAGGGAGTATTATGGGCTGGAGGCCTCCTGCGACCAGAGGCAAGAGTATTATGGGCTGGCAAGGCCTTCGGTGGCCAGAGGGGGGAGCAGCGGGGGATGGCACCGGCTGCATGTGACGGAGGGGGGGGCCAGGTTGGGGGGGTGGCGAGTGGGGGTGGGGAAGCTTATTATGGGATAGCTCTTTGTACCTACTGCGGGGACTGCTTCTCCAGAAGATATTATGGGATGTCGCGTATGGGAGGGGGAGTGGGGCTGGGGGGATTATTATGGGATGGTGGTGCAGGGTGGGGAGGGCCCGAGGAGCTCTTCTCTAGCCCCCCACCCCTCACCCCTCACTCCTTTACCAGCCTCTCCAAGGTCAGCCTCCTCTCGCCTCTCTTTCAGAGGGACACCTGAAAGCCATCTCCTTCCGGGCGCACCCCCTGGGCGCCCCGACTCATCCTGGCATCTCCCTGACTAGCAGCCTCCTCCGGGTGCCGATGGGCAAAGGCAGCCCCTGGGGACCGGGGAGAAAGTCCCGAAAGCCCCGAGGTGGGGCTGGGGTGGCCAGGGGCTCCTTCCTCCCACCTGCACGACGTCCTCTCAGGCTTTCTAACCCCTGCTGCACTCTCCCTCTCCTTCTCCCTCCCTTCCACAAGTGGGGGCCCTAGAGCCACCTCCCCTCCCCCTCCCCTCCATTTCCTCTCCAGCTCCCTCCACAGCCGTAACCAGTAAAACAGGCGGCCGGCTATTATGGGATGGCTGCTCCCAGCAGCTCTGCAGGGAGGGGGCGGTCACCGCGGAATGTCTCTTGTGGGTGGCTATTATGGGATGGCCGCCTCTCTTTTGGGGGGGTGGGGGCTAGCGAGGAGGATTATTATGGGATGTGCCCTGCACAGCTGGGTGGGGCTGTCCAGGGTAGGTGAAGCTCTGGGGAGGAGGAGGGGGAAGGAAAGGAAGGAAGGCGCTGGGGAGGGTGGGGTGAGCCCTGGAGCCAGACCTGAGGCCTGGCAAGAGTAACTGGCTGGAGAGGTTTCTTTGGTGACAGCTGTTTGAAGGGGCCCCTGGGGCAGGCTCAAGGGAGCCAAATCTGAACCCTGGGCCACCTGGGTCCTTTTCACCACTTGGTGAGCTTACAGGATGCCAGCCCAGGACCTGCAGTGCCTGCTGGAAGCAAGACCTTCCATGTGCTTGCTGGGTGGTACACCAAGGGGACCACAGGGCCCAAGGACTCCTGTTCCTCTCTCACTTCTGGGGTTTGAGGCTTAGGACAAACACTCGGGCAGGGGGTGTGCACAGGTTGCTTTGCTTCCATGCAGCCCGTCCCCAGACCCCACAGGCTGTGCATCCTGTCCAGTGCAGGGTCATGTCATTGGGACTTCCTTGTGTTGTCTTTCCGGTCCCCGTCTCTAATGGAGCATAACACTGTGGTCTCTCGGACCTCTTAGGAGCAGGGTTTCTCTGGCTCACAGAGAACAGGGATGCAAGGAGAGGCATTGTACAGCATATGCCAGAAATTTCATGGACAACCTGTTATTCAAGGTTCTTTTGTACCATGGGATGGAAACAGAATTCTGAGGCAGGGTGCTGCCTCCTGTAGTGCCAGCATCCCATATGGGCACTGGTTCGAGTCCCGGCTGCTCCACATCTGATCCAGCTCTCTGCTATGGCCTGGGGAAAGCCATAGAATATGGCCCAAGTGCTTGGGCCCTGCACCTGCATGGGAGACCCAGAGGAAGCACCTGGCTTCTAGCTCCTGGCTTCAGATCCAGCGGCCCACGGCTGTGGCCATTTGTGGGGTGAACCAGTGGATGGAAGACCTCTCTCTCTCTGCCTCTTCCTCTTTGTAACTCTGCCTTTCAAATAAATAAATATTTTTTTAAAAATCTAAGGCAATTGGCTGGGGGGGGGGAGGCGTCCTCCTGGATGCATTAATTAGGAGATTATCCTACCCTCAGTCTCTGTGGGCCAATCATGTCAGTGTTTATTTATTAAACTTATTTATTATTTATTTATTTATTAAACTTATCTGGTAGGGTAGCATGGGGCTAGAGTAGGAAGGGGAGCCCTGGAAGTATGAAGACCACAAAAGCAGCAGGCACACATCCTGGTTCTCTGGAACTCAAGCAGAGAGGAAGGGATTTGACCTTGTCCTTGTGGGGGGACCAGGGAAAGGGGGGGGGGAGGAGAAGTAAGGGAATACAGGGGTGGAACCTTAGGGATGGGGGCCAGAGAGAATGTGATGGCTAAAAGGTGCCAGTATTGTACATCACAGACAAGATGCAGGGACTACCTACTTAGAACTCCTTAGGAGTCATTGTGGTAATGTGGTATGTGGAAGACAGGAAGGGTTTGGGGCAGATGCAGAAATCGACACAAGGGAATTTGAGGTCCAGTGACAGACTGGAGCCCCTAGGGAAATGGGGACAGAAAAAGCCATAATGGGTGTCTGGAAACTCCATGTAGGCAGAAGAAACTCATTGGGAGGAGACACACCCACGTTGTATGTCTCCTCTCCCTCATTGCAGGGCATACATGTCACCTCTAGTCCTCTGTGCACGGGGGAGGGTCTGCGCAAGGGAGGGGCCCAATATCGATGGCAGGAGAATTTAGTGAGGGACACTACGGCAGCCT